ATTCCACAAAAGTGCATGTTTTGGGACCATTAGCAAATTAGACATGAAGCAATAGTAATCCGTCAAATACTCAATAATAACAAAAGCATTTTAGCCACAATGCTCCATGGTGTAATCTTATATAGTCTCTCTTGAGGAGAATCTGTGTGAACTACAAGCAACTTAAAAAATTGAGAAATCAAGCAGAATTACACAGTATTGTTGAATTTCCCCTGTATGACTAAATACTCCAAAGTATAAGAATCAAATTATTCAGCTAAGGGTCTTCTCAAAATGAGTATGCTCAGTTTTACATGTAATCATTTCATTAATTGGTAAATTATCAACCCAACTTTGTTATACACACAGTGATAAATATCGCACTATGAAAAAGAGGCTGCTATACAATTTACCCAGCATGCCCAAAACCTTATCAAATCTTGGTATAAATGTGCTCTTGCATCTGTAAAAATTGAAAATTGAACAGAACAAATGAATTTTGATAACAAGATATCTATCCCACCCACAAGCATGCCTATCAGCACAATTATACAATGACAATACAGCACTTTTTCAAAGCATGATAAGAACAGTATAATAATTAAACTTTTTTTATCAAGGATCATTCATTCAAAAACAAAGGAAACAGCTTTTACCCTAAAAACCCAAGAATCAAAATTAATTACATGTAAAACTGGGTACGAAAAAACGAGATGGAACCTACATGAGGAGAATATAGGGTAGGACGCCACCTATTGGGTTTTATCATATGGGACATAGAGAATTCAAACGGGGATCAAGAGCTGACAGAAATTATCAACAATAGCAAAAAACTTGTGAAATGGAGCAACATGATCAAGTTTAATAAATAAGTCTTCCTTAGTAGTATAGGTCCTATAAAATACAGTAATCTAATAAGGGGGTGCTGCAGAAAACCAATGGAGGAAAGCTAACTAAATTTTTAAAGCTAGAGGGTGGCATAAATGTCCCAAATGGTCAAGCTCTGCCTACTTTGACATTATACACGAGGCAGTAGAAATTATTTACAAGATATACACCAAAGTCTGCCTATCCAGATATTTTTCAAAACACTTTTGAATAAACAGGGTCATAAAAATGGGACATTAGTATAAATTCTAAAAATCTGTCACTTGGTATATACTATTCATGAAACATAATTTTGACAATCTATGGTAATTTGAATACTGTATTTCTCAAAAACTCCATGTGAGTCGCCGTCCACTTTCCCCATACTTAGTTAACAGAGGGAGGGTAGGTGCCTGATATTTAACTATTAAATATATATTTAGCTTATCCACCATGACCTTTTGCAGTAGTCCCCCCCCCCGTAGCAAGGTATAGGAAGACATTTATTGAAAATGGGTCTCAAGTGAAATATAAAGAAGCATATAGGTTTTTTACTGCCATCCCTAAGCACCAATATTCTGAAGGACATTGGTCATCTGTGATCTACAACATATGGGAGACAAACATCAAACATCAATTTGGTGATGACTTGACCTTCCTCAGAAAAAAACATTCTTGGCTCAATGACAGGGAAAATCAATTTGGATTAGGAACAAAATATAGTCAATGACTTGGCTGGTATTCTAGAATACTGGATCATAGATAGAAAAAATATTTTAGGTTCTGGATTGGTATATCGACTAGGGATCATTGAATTAACTGGGAGAACATGGTTTTATCTGCTAAATTACATTTCTGAATGATTGCAGTCACAGCTCAATGTTATAGAGAAGTCTGGATTATCAAACCCCCTAGCACTCTTTGTAATGATATAACTCTTGCAGAAGATATATGCATTAAAACATTTTGTGTTTGTTTTTAAAATACAGTACAATAAAATCCACAGATTTCACGTGGATTTCATGAGGATTCCACGTGGATCCTCGTGGCATGTGGATTGGCAGTGTCTACGATTAAACCTGTCTAATCTGAACATCATTGGGACTGGACAAATGTATCCACATAAGCAGGTGTTCATTTTGTTTGTTTCAGGTGTTCACATTTTTTTTCTCAAATATCTGAGTGAATGAGAGAGAGCAAAGGACGATTCTCGGTTTGGAGAACGAAGTTCATCAATCTAAATGAGCATTATCCCTGCTTTGGACAAATTTGATATTTTTACATAACATAGATTTGAATGTCTTCTTTTGAATAGTCATAATTTAATTTGGGTAATATTTCTAGATTTTTCTCAAAAAAGATATTAGCGCAGTACAGTGATGAACTTCTTTCCCCAAATTTAGACTTGTATTTTATTGAATCGGTCTAATTGACCTTTTGCGATCAGAATTCAGGAATTTTGTTTATGGATACTGTTGTCACGTATTTCGTCTTATTGGTATGACGTCATATAGAAATGATATTAGACATGATGGAATCACGAAATGGCGGACACGTGGTAGTTTTGAACTAAAAATATTGTCGTTTCTTATATAAAAAACATGGGTCGGATATTTACCAGGTATGCCTATTTGACTAGATCATGAGTATGTCTATATATATGCGAAGTTTGGGTGAAATTCATACTAAACATCGATGCCTATAAGCGCCCCCCGTTTTTGTCAAAATCGGGGGGCGCTAAACCGCTATCTAAATCATGTCAGTAAGACCTTAGACTTGGTATGTGCTTAGCATGAATGTTGATCTAGTCAAATAGAACGCTTTCGTGAAAAATAAATCAATAAAGCACGAAATATAGAAGATAATCTCTCAAAATCAAACATCTAAAGCTGGGTGGCCTAATTGTGACGTCACTACAAGATAGAATCCATTCGGTGATCGCAAATCATCAATTGAGCGTTATCCCTGCTTCAGACCAATTTGTTATTTTTACATAATATAGATTTGAATGTCTTCTTTTGAATAGTCATAATTCAATTTGGGTAATATTTCTATATTTTTTTATGAAAAAAATTATTAGCCCAGGAGACTGTTCTCCAAACCGAGAATCGTCCTTTGCGACCAAGAAAAAAAGTTAAAATTGAGAGGTGTTTGGATATACAGGTTTCACTATATGTGGTATTCAATTTAGTAATTTAGTTTTCTTTCTTTCAAGTTAATGAAAAATCTTTCTTTAGATCTAATAGATGGTCAATGAATTTTGAAATCTGGTGCTTTTATTCAGTTTTTTTAATATTCTAAGGGAGGAATAAAAAGGTTTGTCCCATAGGGTACCCTATCGTAACCTTAATTCACATTCACACTTAATTCCCCTTATTCCACATAAGCTTATACATCTAGGGATAAGGTCAAAACAATGAAATGTCATTTCCCGCAAAAACGTAATATGTTAGTAAAATTGTAAAAAGCAAGCTTTTCATTGAAATAATGTGAGAAAAAGTGTTTAATAAACGACAGATTAATAATTGGCAAAGGCAAATCTAAGCTTTTGCTGAATAATTTTAATGAAAATTTTGTGAAAAACAACAATTTTTTGACCTGGTCCCTAAGCAACATTGCAAGCAGTTGCCACGGCAATGCGAATACACTTAATTACACATGCATTCCTACCTACACTAGTGATAGTGACAGTCTATTACGCAAGTCCTGAAATATTAATGCAACAAGTTATGGAGGCGTTTAGTATCACATAGCATAATACTGGTGGTAACCAAGATTAATAGTCCTATAGTTATCGTACAAGAGCTATAGAAATATTTCCAATAATACCTTGATTTGCCGATACAAATTACATTCCAGTTATTAGTATATGGAAAATCCTTTGCTGAAGGCATCGATATTAATCTTTTTACTGACATGGTCAGGATTTCCTTTCGTAGCAGGGGGTTACCCATGCAGGATTTCCTTTCGGAGCAGGAGGTTACCCATGTTAGTGAGTCAAAAATTGTCATCAGTCAAGAAAAATGTTAATCAATGAGACAAAAAATAAGTATTTTCTCCCACAATAAGCAAGAGGCGTGATGTAAGAAGAGGGGGGGGGGGGCGCATCCTATAGAGACTTCTTTTAATAATTTGGCTACTACCTGTATTATATTGACAGTCTTTTATATTCAAATCCTGCCAGCCAGGCAATGAACCATGAAATGAGCCATCCAATATGTAATCTGATTCTAACATTCTCGAAGATAGACAGTGTAAAATGTTTAATTCTTAAATACGTTTCATAAACAAAATTAAAATTCCCCCAAAATCAGTTAAAAAGCTGTAAGTTTGAAGGTATTTGCTTAAGTTTGAGACTATTTGCCTACTAGAGTTGAAACTATCAATTATACAATGAAGCCAGAGACATTTTCTTGAATATAGTAACACAAACAAATAAGATTATCTAGCATGCATCAGTCACTTGGTAGACAACCAGTTATACATAAGGAAAACATGAAGCTTAGTCCCACTTTGGCCTGCAGGTCTGTGCCACCCTTATATGTATAAAATCAATGGATATATAATACAAGGCATTAAAATGCCACATGTCACCACCTGCCATTTGTAACAGATACTGAATGCCGAACACCAACCGCTGAACACCAATCGCTGTCACAGAAAGTTGAAGACCATAACAATATGTCACCACTTGTGGTGGTGACATAAAAACCAAGTATCTCCCCATTATATTGTTTAGAATTTGAAAATTACATGCTATCCTGATGAAAATTCAAAAATAACATACCACGCAGTTAAAATTATGTTAAAACACTGTCAAAATGATTAAAAATTGAGATAAGTTGACCAAAACATGTTAAATATAGGGACTTTCCAACCTGTTGAGAAAACCTGGGGGGGGGGGTCACAAGAACCTCAATCGGGCTTGGTACCTTTAACAGTACTGATCTGAGCTTTATACTAACTTGTATATGCCTCAAATTTTCCTTATTTCCACTTCACTGTCTCTTTGTGCTACAATTTACAATTGCATTCCTCTAATTAAGATTGATCTCTAGGTTTTGCTCAAGAAAGATTAGTCACTTTTTGCATGTCATAATAATATATAACTATTAGTTCCTAAGCGAGAAGTAATAACTATAAAATATACTTACATTTCTTTTTGGTGTCTTCTTGCTTGGCGATTCTGCCTGTAAAAAACAGTTGTACTAATGTAAAACATCATAACATTTTTACAAATGTGCTTATAAGGTTAATTGCAAGTACTTATATTATATTAACTATTTCTAGGGTTTGAACAGCCGGATTTTGTATGTACTTTAAGAAATAGTCAGGCTTATGATGTTCAAAGTAAAAGTAAAGAGGATTCTACCAAATGTTGAAATATAATACATAGTACTATATAAAACTAATCATTTCATCTCAAAATCCAACAAGGCATTAACATGCAAAATATCACCACCTGCCATTTTTACAGATACTGTTACAGACACCAAACACCAACCATCCACAATTTAGTAGTGACATTAAAACATAATGAAATAAGAATACATTACAAATGAAATATATAATAAAAATGAGACAATTGCTTAAGAAAAAAATTATAAAATTTCTATCTTTGGAAGGCTCTGAAAATTCCTTTTTGGAAAAATTCATGCAACAATTTTTCAACAAAAACAGTTCATTAACTGCTTGTAATATCTGGATGGCTCATCAATAATATTAGATAACTTCATGGCGAAGGTTTAAATAGATATCCAATTGGGAAATTATGTAATGGAAAAATATAATGAATATTCATCCCCTTAGAGAGAAGACATATTTTAATGGATTATACTGTATGTGTATTACTGCATATTACAATACATGTATAATGTCTACCCTGGGTACCAGGGCCTTGTACAATATGGTCTGAATACTTGTAAATTTAATTTTTCATACACAGTAAAACCTGTCTTATCTGAACACCTTTAGGTCAAAAGTGTTTGTATAAGTAGGTGTTCATATTTCTAGGTTTTAAAAACATATAAGTCAATAGAAGATAACAAAAATGGGACCAAGAAAAAGTGGTGTTAAGAGGTGTTCGGATTAGAGAGGTGTTTGTGGATATACAGGTTTCACTATTCACGCTTGTAGCAAGGCAGGAGACGAGGGAGCGGCTGCTCTCCCCTGGCCAGAAATTCTTTCAAAATTATGTAGTTTTTCACCATTCTGAGTACTTTCAGCATGATTTTTTTTTATTGAAAAGGGTATATCATACGCAGGCATTTCAGTGGTAGTTGCCAAATGTGGCAAAAGCCCAATACAAAGCAGGTGGAGATCATGTTATTATCAAAGTGAAATCATATATAAAATGGGGATACTGTATTTATATTTATGAAAAACAGTAGGCTTATTTGTTTCATGAATGATCCAATTCAGTGTCTGCCATCTTTGTGTAAAAGTGTTGATGTCATAGTAATTAGGTAAAAAGACTGACGCATCAGTCCTTCTTTCCTAAAAATACCAATGTTTCGGAGGACACTGTTCCTGTAGTTCGTGAATAGTTCGCGAGTCGTGACAAGTGCAAATTATAAGGAACACCACACCTTTTATAATTTCTATAAAAGGCAGTTTAATTCACTACCTACGAGGCCCGATCAGAAAGTAAGTAACCAACTGCTCTCATTTTTTCATACTTCATTCAATCACATTGAAATTTTCACAGATGATGTAGAAAATATTAACCTATTAAAAAAGACCAAGGACAATGGGTTAGCGTCAATGCCATTGTTATGGCTGTTGCTATGGTGATGATTGTTTTGGGTAGGCGGGGCACCCTTTTGTAAGCGGCTTTGGAAGATGGTTTGTTGAGTTTTTTATATGCTGTATTCCTCCAGATTGACCTAACATTTTTCATGCAAGACTGAATAATTTGTCTTGTGTATTATCACAATGGTAATTACACTCCATTGTCTCATTTATAAGTCATTGACACAAAGATATCAAGGGTATATCTGTCATAATGATGGTCATGATTTAGGCACAGTTTCAATCCAGTCAAATGTGGTTGAAGGGGGATTTTGCTGGCATTATGACAATGGTCCACCTCCACAGAGCCAACATTACCGAAGATACAGTAGATTAAGCCTTTTCCATGGCCACACAACTACCCCAGGCTCACTATTCCCGAGACCTGGCCCCACATGACTAAATTCTTTCCAAATGCAAAGATGTCGTCCGTCTGGACAGCAATAAGGCCATCATTAAAGCTTTCAATAGCAGTTTGCAGTCATTGAATGGTGCCATGTTGCACTTCTTTAAGGACGGAGTGAAACATTGCCTCAACTGCATTGACTTTGGTAGTGATTAATTTGAAGGACTATGTGTTAAAATGTAGTCTTACATTTGAATTTGATATATTTGGAGGTATTACAACATGTAGAAAACTCTACAAATTATCTTCAAACGCCACTTAAAACAGGGTGCCCCACCTACCCAAAACAATTGTCACCATAGCAACAGCAATAACAATGGAATTGACGCTAACCCATTGTCCTTGGTCTTGTTTAATAGGTTAATATTTTCTTCATCATCTGTGAAAATTTCAATGTGATTGAATAAAGTATGAAGAAATAAGAGCAGTTGGTTACTTACTTTCTGATCGGGCCTCGTATGTGAGTAATTTAAAGCTCTTATATTATAGAAAAGATGGTTTATCACCTATAAATAAATAAGTACACATAAATATTAGGTATAAAGATGATGCAGATTTCAGGTTGTTTTAATTTTTTCTAATTTGATTTACTTATATCAGAAATAGTCATTAAGCCCCTTTAGTATATAGTTTATTTCTGTCTTAGTATGCAAATGCAGATTTTAACTTTCTAATCACGTTGACAACCAATATAGAGACAGGTTCCCTTTAAAAGGCTTGTTCTGCCTCTTAATGTAATATAACCTGACAGACCATCAATTAGTTGTAGAATTTCTTTAAGCAGAACCATTACATGCCTGATTACCTTCATTGATGCAAGGGTGATGTCTTGTAAAATCAATACAAATAAGCTTAATAAGTATGTAAACAGCAATTGATATAGAATTATGATGTGGGACTACTCCCCAATTAGAACTTTAGTGGTTCCAATTATGATTTTTTAAATAAATTTTATGCTACTTTGTCCACAAGAAGAATGCCTACTCAATGATACATCTTTGTACCTAATATATGAGGTAATTGGTCATATACATGCTAGATGAGTTGATGAGTTATTGCCCAGGGAGATAGACTGACAGATGAATGGACTAACGGAATGCTTCACTGTTTCCCTAATTTCAAAATGCAGCTTGTGTCTACAGTTTAAATTAAAATAAGGAAAAATGAGAACGAAACTTGGTACATCCAAACTGATTCATCTTTGCTTATATGTTGATCCATCAATGTATTAAATTACTGAAGGAATACACTGGTTTGAGATCATACAAAGCCCCAAATGTTGTGTCGTTTCTCTTTCGTTTGGTACAAAACTTAAGTCCCATGTATTAAATAAGCCCTTGGTTTAACAGTATGATCCTTGCTCATAAAGCGTCATAATATGACTTCACAGTGATTGAGCGTGGGAAGTAACACTGAATGATTCCTCTGCTCATAAAAAGGCTGTAAACGCAGCATGTCATGAATAAAAATTAATAAATAACCAAAGATCGATGGACACATAACTTCAATCATAAGTATATACGTAAACCCTTTTTATGAATGTAAATTGTGAAATTTAAAAATGGGTGGAACAAGGATGTAGTTGCCTAGTATTAATTCTAAGTAAACACTTCATTATACATATATAGTCAAATGGTTTCTTAAGTGTGGACATTGACATTAAGATTTGCATATCTAAACAAATGATGACTCACAGAAAATAAACATATAAAACAACAAAAAATTGAGGCGATGTCATTGCGACATTTAATTTTGAACTGTGTATTCTCTCATAAATGGTAAATATCAAAACCGACCGTACATAACTGATGTATCTCATACTTATAAGCACAATTTATATCTAACATTTTCGTAATACTCCTTTAGTTCAATACAATGATATTGTAACATTAAAACTTTTTAAAAATGTTTAAACTTTTAAAATTTAAAACTTTTGAAATTTTTTTTATTTTTCAACTTTTTTAAACTTTTGAAAAAATTCCCGGGAGCGGGATGGATATCTGCCCGCATTTGGCCTGGAGCAGGACGTATACGATATATTCTGCCCTCTCCTCAGATATGATATATATGTCTGGGTGATATCTACCCCAAACCCACTTAAGAATGAGGAACATAAATATATTTGGTAATTAATAAGCTTTACATACTGACTGACTGCAAATCAAAAGCATATTTTTGAAAAATAGGCATGTAGAAATTTTTAAAAATACAATGTATAATATTTCATGCCCATAACAAACTTTTGGTAGGCTCTAACCCCCCTCCCCCTCCTGTCCACACATAAAAAATTTGCTTTGCTTTTGTAAACCAACTCCCTTTATAATGCAAGGGTATGTTTAAACAAGACATCAGGGGCGATCCTGAAAATCCAAAAGTGGAGAGGCATAACAATTTTGGGCCCAAATTTTGAAGAATAATGCCCAAATTTAGAGAGGCAATACCAAAATGTCACCAAATGTTACCTTCTACCTCGAAATAGAAAGAAAATTCTTCAAGACAGCAAAAAGGTAGCCCCGAGCCCCCCTGGTTATGGGCCTGTATTTAAGAACTTCCAACACTACCATGTTAAGATCAGAATACATGTTTAACTCAGGTTCAGTTGAATCATCACAGCCGAATAATACAATATGATTGCAATATACAATATAGTAGCATAGTGCATGTCTCGATGCGAACTGTTAATAACCATAGATCTCAATTCTTGTATCTGAACTATCATTCAGATACAAGATGCATCATGTTGTTTTTTCTAAGATTTCTCTGTAAGTGTTGCATGTGATTTTCTTATTAACTACTGCATCAATACTTCCCAAAATAATTCTTTAGATACAATATATTTCAAAGCTTAAATTTTCCTATAAAGTAATACAGATCATTTTGTATTTAAAAAAACCCAGAATACTTGAAATGCAATCTCATTTTCAAATTTTCTTGAGGAGTGAATCCCCCCAAACCTCCCTCCATGGGCTTAGGGCTATATTTTGAGTTGGTACGCACACTTGGAGATGCCTGATTGCGTGGCTGAAGGCCGTGCAACACGGGGGTCTGGGGGTATGCTCCCCCGGGAAATTTTTTTCAAGGACGTTATTTGATGGAATCTAAGCGTTTTTATCAACTTTAAATGTTGCCAATGGTAAAAATACAGACACGATAAGAAGCATCTATAAATTTGCAAATAAATAAATGAATTCATGGTGTACGCTACGCCTCTGGAAATGATGTTTGTGTTTTGATCGCACATGATTAATTTTTAGTCTCAGACACGAGAATCAATATCTATGATGACCATTAGACACTTAGTACTTACGTACATGTAGTTCAGATACGAGAATCGATGTCTATGATGACCATTAGTCTACAGACTTTAGTTTGGATGCATACACCTGACCTATAATCATCCCAGTTTTACAAATATTTTCGCCGAGTACAGTGCCTATGTATGCTACAGTCATTTAGAAAGTACCCCCATAAATGTGGGGTTATTTTGAGGTTTTTTGATATTTAGGACATTTGTTTCTCAAAATAACCCCACAAAGTTTAGGCTTTGATTCTTTTCACATGATTTGAAGATTCAAGTTCTGACAATATCGGCAGTTTCCTTACCTTTTTTCTTCTCTTCTGTGAAGAGGATTCTTTTTCCAATGTAATGAGCGATCGATCAGTGGAAACAATACTTTATAACTGGAACAATTTGCTGTAATATTTGACTCTCGAAATCTATTCAAATTTGGGCCATTTTCGCGCGTTGCATTCTGGGAGGAATTATGTGATAGATGGGAAACTTAACAGTGCCAAACGAAATCACCTGTCAAATATTAATAACAAAATTATTGCTTATGCCTAAGTTTAGGAAAACAAAGGCCGTAGACGGTACAGCAGCCAAACTTGAGGTTGAAAATCCTTTTAATACACCCTGGAAGGTGAAAATCATTTTTCAAAATTTCCCTCCATTTTTACTTTTGGATTTCGTATTTACACGAAGTTTGTCATTTAGATAAAAAATATCGACTGCGCATGAAAATTTGAAAAACTTTTTTAGAAATATCTGTTATCCGTATTAAATCGTCATTACAAGAATGAATACAACACTTAGAGGGCTATATTTGGAAGCATGTTGAAGATTAATGTCTTGTCGATACGAAAAACATAAAAAGGTGAGTAAATTCTAATAATAATAGTACAAATTCTATGTGTATGCTATTGTTTAGCAAATCCCCAAAGAATCAAAGTACTAATCGGTGTGGGGTTATTTTGAGAAACAAATGTCCTAAATATCAAAAAACCTCAAAATAACCCCACATTTATGGGGGTATTAGAAAGTGACCAGTTACAGTCAGTAAATAATACGTAAAGGCTAGAGTACCGACAATTGTCGGTACTCTAGACTCTGATGTGGTGGCACGCTAGAGGACCGACAAATAAATTGTCGGTACGGGAGATATGCTGTGTTTACACGCTAGAGGACCGACAAATATTGATTTTCGAATTTTCTGGCGCATGCGCAATGCGCGGGGGGATATTTCAGATATCATACGGATATTTTGGGAACAAGTGCAAAACCCGGGGAGGGCATTAGCCCCGGTTACCCGGGGATTACCAAACCCAGTCAAAAAATGGTAGCCTGGGAACAGGGAATGGTAATAAACGTTGAAAGAACCAATAAAAAACATGAACAAGTAAGACGTTAGAGAGCTATTAATGCAGAGTAAACGGCTATATATATTCTAAACAGACAGGATATTTCTCCTGAGCCGATCAGGTGTAGAAAGGGGTTTTTGCTACCCATTAGATAGAAGAAAATAGCTAGAATGTTTTTTATTTGAAGCTTATGGTATGAGGTTCCATATCCATCCGCCTAAAGGTATAACCCCTGTATAGTCCATTTAAAAACCTGTGGTATCGTTCTAAATAACCCATAGTTGGCTTCTCTTTCTAGGGTACCTAGTATGCCAATATTTGGTGTCAAAATAAAGAGGAGTTCAACTTTCATTTGAATTACGAAAATAGCGATATAGCTCAAAATAGTTCCGAACGTGAGCATGTTAACTACGCGTTTGCCCGTCATATCAGAATTGAGGAAGTGGTAGCAAACGCGAGTTACAATAAACGGACGCTGATATCTCAAAAAGTAACCTGACTCCCTATAATTTGATGTAGGTCAATCGAACCCCTATATGGACAGGTGCATTTTGATATATAACACTATGGGGGGTAAGCGTTTCATAGTTGGTCACGAACGCCATATGTGCAAAGTATTGTTATGAATTTTCGAATTTGGTGTTGGATTACGGTACTCATACCTTATACCTGTAGCACAATTTTTGATGGAAGTTGCATTTGGCTCTCTTAGTTAATGGCCACGATTCCATCTCGCATGAAAGAGCTACCAAACGCAAAGTAAACAGTGATATATTCCAAATGAGATATTTCTCCTGTCCTATGGCGTAGTAAGGGTAGAGAGCGACGGGGGCGAAAGCATCCCCTCCCCTAACTGTATATGTCGACCCATTAGATAGAACAAGAAAAGAGCTTTAAAATGTTTGTTTAATTGAAGCTTGTAGGACAATTTTGATGGAAGTTGAATCAATTTTTGTCGAAATAAATTATGGCTCACTACAAGTTAATGCCTGTACGATTCCATACTGCAAAAGAAGCACTATGCCCCCCCCCCTCAAAAGAAAAAAAGTAGGTCTTGCCGGGATTCGAACTCGGGACCGAGTGTGTACGAGTCGTGCTCGCTATCCCCTAGGCTACCAGTGATGAGGTAATTTCTAAGAGTAAAAGTAGTGAATTTATTTATGAAATTGTCGGCTCTCTAGCAAAAACACGTAGCAGCCACTTGCGTACCGACAATTGTCGGTTCTCTATTTGGCACTACTAGTTGACGATAGAGTGCCGACAATTGTCGGTACCCCAGCAAATACCCCTGGACAGTCTCCAGTACCGACAATTGTCGGTCCTGGAGCCACTCCGTAAATAATAATTGTTGCTATGCTAGACTGAAATGACTCCCTTTTTGTTAAAGAAATGAAAACCATGGTTGTCATCAGGAATAGAAAACATTAAAGATATTCTAAAGAAGTAAATAGCTTCACTACTGAAGGTGGATTTTAAAAATCTGAAAAGTGAAGTAAATAAAATCATAACAAACATCACAACAAATCAAATTTTGACCTGTCAAATTGGCCACTCCCTTGACACAATGTTATTGACTATCCAGTGGAAATATTTGCACTTACATTACTATCAATTTCGGCTTTCTTGTTAGTTACATCAGTTAATTCGTCTTCGGGGTTATTCTTGCTCATTTTGAGGGTTAAAACTACTAGAATAATGAGAACATATTTGACAGCTTCCACTTGCGATTCCTGTAAACTGAGCTAGAGATTATTTTGTATCTTGATATTAATTTGTTAAATCATGGCTTCAAGAATATTATCTAATGTTACACCAGTCATAATATTATTCGAATGATTCTATAGTATTTGTGAGTTAAATTGTTTAGACAGAAAGGTGTACTTATTGAATTTAAGGGATTTGAATCTAATGCGAAATTATCTTTTAGCTTTGCAAACCAAACCGGAAGTACACGACAAATTTTGATTTTTCCGATTTATTCATACTTTTCATCATCTACGTGCTTCTGATGCATCCATTATGGGATGGGTCTTTTGAATTGACATTTCTAGCATCTGTTTCGAATCCGACACACATTTGGAACTATTAGAGGTCACAAATTTGTAAAGGTGAGACATTTATTTTTACAACCATACCATGAACAGAAGCCCCCCCCCATGTTATCTGCAGATGTTATCTATAGGTTACACTTCAAGTGCAGAAAGTTAGAAAAAAGAAAAAAAGGTTTAAGGTCTCATGGAAGTTAACAGGAAATGACAAAACAAAAAATGATAAAGCCATGCTGGATTTTGAAAATTTTTTGAACCAAGATAACAGAGTTCTGTTTGGACCTCCAGTCAGTTTAACTAGTTCCACATATCATTTACATGACTGGGAACACAATTGAAATGGTCAGAATGACCATAAACATGATAAAATAATCTTTTCAGCCCTTTGAAAATGTGACTGAAAAATAGCTAAAAGTAGGTGCTCAGGAAAGGTCAATCAACAGAATCTTTTGATTTTTTCAGAAAATGTGTCCAATATATTGCTCTAAATGACACAATCTTTGAAATTTAAAAAAATTGTCTGAAACAATAATGGCTGTTGTAAAAAGGAAAATAGATCGATTTTCAATTCAGTTTTTTTTAATTTTTTCTTTTTCTAAGAATGATATCAAATTTGTTTAAATTGTATCATTTAGAGCAATATATTGGGCACATTTTCTGAAAAAGTCAAAAGATTCTGTTCAGTGACCTTTCCTGAGCACAGACTCTTAGCTATTTTTTAGTCACATTTTCAGAGGGCTGAAAAGGTTATTCTATCATGTTTATGGTCATTCTGACCATTTCAATTGTGTTCCCAGTCATGTAAATGATATGTGGAACTAGTTAAACTGACTGGAGGTCCAAACAGAACTCTGTTATCTTGGTTCAAAAATTTTTCAAAATCCAGCATGGCTTTGTCATTTTTTGTTTTGTCATTTCCTGTTAACTTCCATGAGACCTTAATTAAAAAAATATTTTTGACTTGTTTTGTTTACATGATTCTCCTGGCACGCCTAAAACATGAACATAACACTTCAAGGAGATTTTCTCACCTCAAACTGGCTTTATCTGCCAAATAATGAACCAAATCGGCAATATTGCTTTTAAAACTCACTCTGCCTGTCGTGGGTGAATAGGCTGATCTAAAGGATGTTGTAATTACAAATTCAAATGCTGCCATTTTGAATATTTTTCCCCTTCAGATTTTAAATCGCAAGATTTGGTCTTATTCCATAACTAAAAAATTCAAAACACATAACAGGGGATCAAGATATAAGTATAAACCTTTCAATAGTATGGATTATGAATTTATTGCCAGTTGTAATGTCAGTGAATAACGACATTTCAGGGCGGAGCCAATTTTTTTTGATTCAAGATGCCTCAAACCTGGAGTATTCAGTATATAGCCTATATGGAGAACTTCCCATTATCCGGGATTTTTACACATACCTGTCAGGACATACAAAGATTTCAGACTCTTTGATTAAGTCCTTAGTTAAAAATATAAACTAGTCGAGGGCCTTGTTTCTTATCTCACACATATTTGTGCCACCTATTTGGTTAGCGTCCATGCATATTCTACCAAGTATGCAGAAAATTTAAAGTAAAGACTTCAGCGCATTTTGGCCAGTGCTTGTTTTTGTCATGTTTTTATGATGTTACGCCTAAATAATGAGATCAAAATAAGCATACATTCCTTTAGTCCTTCAAGTAGAACTTAATATATGGGCTTCTTTATTAATTCTGATCTTTTTTAGATGGCCGTCCATTGAGTTCTACATCCAAGCTATGCAACCATGAATCACATTTTTTCGATCAGTGGAAACAAATTTATCTTGATAATGTATGACAGCTACTAACTTGATAGTAATATAAAAACAACTCCCATTTACTCTTCCTTTTTGCATTAAATATACATTTATAATTAAAAATGTGGCTATTCTTCTGAACTTCTGAAATGTTTAATTTCCTTGGGCCATTTTGTTTGAAGCCAAACTTTTTGCATGGAATGAAATTGTTGTCGAATAAAAACTCCCAGCGCAGTATCTCGGGATAGTATGTTGACGACTAGCACACCCAATGAGTATAATAGATTGATAATCATCTTAATTACACGCTCGGTGATCGAAGAATTGGGACGGAGGGGGGGGAGCAGGCAATTTCTGCTAGAAATTTCAACAAATCTGGAAGATTTATTTTTTAAAGAAGAAGTTTACTATTGAATTGCTAAATAAATAGGCTCACGGTATTGTAAAATATGTTAGGTATTCTAGGATTTTTTTTCAACCGATACTCTTTTAGGGTATAAGATCTATTAAAAAAGGCGCAACGCACCAACGTGCAAAAGTCAATGTTGTTGCTATAAATGAAGCAACAATGGTGTACATGACCTGTAATAAATACTTGTAAGTGACATTATCGCCACAAAATTAATGTTATTGCTGACTTTGTAAAATAAGTTTCCATAGGTGAAATAAAAAATAATCGAAAATAATTTTGGGACGGAGGGGGGGAGCAATATGTATTATAACATGATACATATTGCTCCCCCCCCCCCTCCGTCCCATAATTATTTTCGATTATTTTTTATTTTACGCATTGAAACTTATTTTATAAATTCAGCAATGGTATTAATTTAGTTATGATATCGTCACTTACAAGTATTTAATACAGGTCGTGTAGACCATTGTTGCTTGATTTATAGCTAAAACGTTGATTTGTGTCTGTTGGTTGCCTCGCGCCTTTTTTAATAGATCTCATATCTTAGATGTCTATCGTTTCAGAAAAAATCCCAGAAGACCTAACATATTTTACCATACCGTGCGCCTATCAATTCAGCAATTCAATAGTAAACTTTTTCTTGAAAAAATAAATCTCTCAGATTTGTTGAATTTTCTTGCAGAAATTGCCTGCTCCCCCCCTCCGTCCCATTTTCACGATCACCAGGCATGAATTAAGTGTATTCCAGGGAATATAAAATGCAGAATAACATGCGGCTTGTTTAGTGTACTTATCAACGGCTTTTCGGGTACATGATATCTGACTTGCCATTTAGATGTTATCGTAATCTCAACCAACTTTTCCAAACAATTTTGAAAGCTGTCTCGAATACTTCTGAATGTATCCATCATCAACAACACAGGGGTATATTGGATGATACATTTGTAGTGATTAGGTATATATGCTTGCTTTAATCACATTATTTCTGTCATAATATCATCTTATTATTAGGGTTTAAGTAGTTCCGCTTGTGGGAACAGGTAGATACGCACTTATGACGAAATGATATGATGGTTAGACCCAGTCGGGGCCATAAGACATGTCAGATAAGAAATGAGGCCCCAGACTAGGTCTAACGTTGTTGGACTAACATACCTTATGAAAAAATTAATTTAAAAAATTAGTAGGAATAGCCTCATTTTACTATTATAAATAAACATTTAATGCTAAACTGTTATGTGGAATTGTTTGATGTTAGGTGTTTCTTTATAATCATCAAGGATCTGCCGCATATTATTGAGGAAAATTGGTTTCAATCTATTCAAAAATTCAGATTGATAGATTAAGCCGTATATTGAGTTGAACTTGTTGAATTAATGAAGTCCATACCAAATTACAAAGGCTTGTGTATTTGAAATTGTGCTTCTTTTAATCATCCAGAAATCCGATTGACTGTAAAAGTTTTAAAATGTATGTATGGCTTGTAACTGATTTTCCAAGACAGATATGAGAATCGATAGATAGTCTCAATATAAGGATAACTCATCTCTGCTCTGGGCAAATAAGCCAAAGACTTCAGTAAAAATGCTGACATCAATGCAGAGATGCCGTACATTACTGATGCAAGGAATGCTGTTATGCAATATATGTACGTGATGTCACATCTCTAGACAACAAGGGATATTTTCGTATAGTAATCTGTATACCAACTGTTTTTGGCTCTTGAATTTCTGCGATTTACTAGCTAGATAATCATAATAGCTAGTTGTCTGTCACTCTGTCTTGTCACATTATCATAATGGCCAGTGTTGTCTGTCACACTGTCTTGTCACATTCTCATAATAGCAAGTTGTCTGTCACTCTGTCTTGTCACATTATCATAATGGCCAGTTTTGTCTGTCACACTATCTTGTCACATTCTCATAATAACTAGTTGTCTGTCACTTTGTCTTGTCACATTATCATAATGACCAGTGCTGTCTGTTACACTGTCTTGTCACATTATCATAATAGGCAGAGCTGTCTGTCACACTGTCTTTTCAAATTATTATAATGGCCAGTACTATCTGTCACAATGTCTTGTCACATTATCATAATGACCAGTGCTGTCTGTCATACTGTCTTGTCACATTATCATAATGGCCAGTGCTGTCTGTCACAATGTCTTGTCAAATTTTCATAATGGCTAGTGCTGTCTGTTATGCTGCCTTGTCACATTATCATAATGGCTAGTGCTGTCTGCCTTGCTGTCTTGTCAAATTATCATAATGGCTAGTGCTGTCTGTCAAGGTGTCTTGTCATATTATCTTAATGGCTAGTGCTGTCTATCAGACTGTCTTCTCACATTATCATAATGGCAGTGCTGTCTGTCATGCTGTCTTGTCACATTTTCATAATGGCAGTGCTGTCTGTAACGCTGTCTTCTCATATTATCATAATGACAGTGCTGTCTGTCACGCTGTCTTCTAACATTATCATAATGGCAGTGCTGTCTGTCACATTGTCTTGTCACATTATCGAAATGGCTAGTGCTGTCTGTCAAGGTGTCTTGTCATATTATCTTAATGGCTAGTGCTGTCTATGACTGTCTTCTCACATTATCATAATGGCAGTGCTGTCTGTCACGCTGTCTTCTCACATTATCATAATGGCAGTGCTGTCTGTCACGCTGTCTTGTCACATTATCATATTTGCAGTGCTGTCTGTCACGCTGTCTTGTCACATTATCATATTTGCAGTGCTGTCTGTCATACTGTCTTGTCATATTATCTGATGGCTACTTCTGTCTATCACATTGTCTTCTCACTTTATCATAATGGCTATAGTGCTGTCTGTCATGCTTGGCAGTACATCAGATGTGCCTTGTTATTCTTATAGTGTGAAGCAAACCAACCAACAACATGAGGCGAAGAGTGAATGCACTGAACAAAGAAAACATCTCAAAGATTGTAACGGAATTAGACGCATTTCCTAAAGTACCAGAGACTTATGTGAAGACAACAGCATCTGGGGGAGGGTGTAAGTTATATTGCATCATTATAAGAAAAGTAGGATTAAAGGCTTATTAAATGCCATTAATAAAGTGAAATAAAAACCACATACGTGTACTATTATAATATAATAATATAACAATCAAATCAATGTTTTAATGAATTGTAAGACTGACCACTATAAATAAATAAACTAAACTAAACTATAATATGAGCAGATGGGTTCAGATGGGTTCAGGTTAGTGTTTTCAGTGTATAAGGGTATGGGTCAGTGTGTAAATGTATTGTATTGAGAATATGCTTATTTTAAAATGAATAAAATGAAGATTATGTTACGGGAAATTTTTGTAATGGGACCTCGAGGATCCGAGGTAAAATATTATATTTCCCTCAGGATATATCCCATATTCAATGCTGAATATTATATGATATATACTGATATTGTACTAAAAATAAAAGTATTTATCCCATACTTGGACGTGTTACAGGTACATAAAGCCGGTTTGTAAAAACATATATTTTCATCAGCGGGCAGATATAGCTTTACGTCCCGCTCCGAGCGGGCAGATATAGTATATCTGCCCGCTACGTCATAATCGCTGTTCCCGTATTGATTCTTTTTTGTAACGTTCTCATACTGTAAACGGCAATGGAGAAAAACGCAGACAATCGCGATCTGTTTGATGCTTTTAAGAAGGGAAGGAGCAGTATGCCCCATTAATAATCAAAGATTTGAACAGGAAAATCTGGCTATGGACAATAATACAAAACTGGACATGAATATTTTTTAATAATTCCACGGTTGGTTGCAAAGTTTCTGAACTGTGGCCAATTGAACAATGTGATTGGTATGGGATAAACAGATCATCCTATAGTCGGTTCAGGATATTTGGATTATCCCTTGGCCAATATAATACATCTACCCTCGGGACCTACGGCCCTCGGGCAGATATATTATATTGGCCTCAGGATAATCCCAATATCCTGAACCTCATATAGGATAATCTCTATATATTTTTAAACTTGCTATTCATGTTTTGCGAAGGATAAATAGAGATTATTCTATATGAGGTTCAGGATATTGGGATTATCCCGAGGACAATATAATATATCTGCCCGAGGGCCGTAGGTTATGATTATGACGTAGCGGGCAGATATACTATATCTGCCCGCTAGGAGCGGGACGTAAAGCTATATCTGCCCGCTGATGAAAATATAAGTTTTTACAAACCGGCTTTATGTACCCGTAACACGTCCAAGTATGGGATAATCAATTTTACATACTTAAGATTCATGTATGTATGTGGGATAAAATAGAGGCCTCTTTCTCAGGGATCTTATGTACAACATTTCTAATTTCAGTGTCAATTGTGATATTCATCATAATGGTTGTGCTGGTCTACTTTGATTTTTAATTTCAGTGTCGATTGTGATATTCAATCATCATAATGGTTGTGCTGATCTACTTTGATTTCTAATTTCAGTGTCGATTGTGATATTCATCATAATGGTTGTGCTGATCTACTTTGATTTCTAATTTCAGTGTCGATTGTGATATTCATCATAATGGTTGTGCTGATCTACTTTGATTTCTAATTTCAGTGTCGATTGTGATATTCATCATAATGGTTGTGCTGATCTACTTTGATTTCTAATTTCAGTGTCGATTGTGATATTCATCATAATGGTTGTGCTGATCTACTTTGATTTCTAATTTCAGTGTCGATTGTGATATTCATCATAATGGTTGTGCTGATCTACTTTGATTTCTAATTTCAGTGTCGATTGTGATATTCATCATAATGGTTGTGCTGATCTACTTTGAACTGCAGTACTACACAGCAACAGAACTGAAGTTTAAATATGAAGTGGATAAAGATATGAATAGGTAAACTGTCAATGGTTCATGTAACTCTCTTGTTAAAGGGATATTCCTTGCCATATCATTTCTCTCATAATATGGTAGCTATGACCATATATATTCTTTCCATATTTAACTCTCCTCATGTTAAAACTGTCAATGACCATTGCATTTTGTGTAGTTAAGCCATCAATGTCTTTGCTATAAGTAATGGAACCCTAAAAATACTAAAATTTAGGAATTACATTTAACTATGTTTTTTGATTAATCGCATACTCTGAAATGTGCATCAATCACTGAGCTGGTCATTAGTCTGTTCATTCTTATATGTTTAAGTATAATATTTTTCTGTTTTAGTAAACTGCAGATCAACATTGACATGACAGTAGCTATGAAATGTGCATGTAAGTACAAAGTCAAAGAGCATATGAGCATTTTATCTTGTCTTCATTTGTCTTCAAATTTCTTTTTATGTTACCACCCCAAGTCATGGGCATAGCCAGGGTGGGGGGATTAGTGTGATCCCATACCCACAAATAAAGAAAAAAGCAATTTTGTAAAGTTTGTTGAAAAAACATTGACAAATTATAGTTTGAATTGCATAGAAAAGGGCTCGCTTCACTTGCAGTGATGTAAACCCAAAAATCGTCTTTTTGGGTTGAACTTAAAGCATCAAAGCATGTGTGTGTACTGTATTCATATCATGTTTCAGATATTGGAGCTGATGTATTGGATATAACAGGCCAGAGTTCAGCCAATATACATGGAAAACTTCAAGAAGAGCCTGTCTGGTTTGAACTCTCCCCCAAACAGAAAGAATACCAAACTATGATTGCTCACGTCAATGAGTATGTGAGATCAGAGTATCATGCTCTGCAGGACATGCTCTGGAAGACTGGTTACAAGGGAATGTCCTCTGAGATGCCTAAAAGGTACAATTTCAGTTTTTATGATGAGTTCTTATGTTAAGAACATAAAGTGATGACATATTGTTACAACCAACATTTTTGTTACTGGCATTCAGTGTTGGCATAGGTCATTTGATTCTGTGACAATTGTTATACTTTTCTCATGTTATACAATGAGAATTTCGCAATTAAAGCATATGAGTGTTGAAATGTAATCATACATGTATGCATATGTCTTTTGTATGCATAAACATTAACATTGAAATTATGAAATAAAAATCATTTGTATTGGATTTTGAACAAATGAAATTTTGTAACATTATTTTAAAATCTGTGTTCATGGGACAATTCAATAAAGCTGAACACTTTCTAAAGGAGCATTCATCAGATTTACTTATGCACTTGAACAGTGATAATCAACCAAGAAAATGTTTTACATGTATATGAGACATTTTGACAAAACTACTACTTTAGATGTTATTTTGCCATTGAAATCCCCTTGGTATTTTGCTGAAATTTTCTTTGCTAACTCACTCATCACCTTACTTTTTCTTAAATCACAATGCTGCAGTACTTTGATATGTCCAGTTCAGTAGAATCTGTGTGTACGAACATCATCCATATTGGCTAAAATTGTTCCTTGTAGACAAGTGTACTTTACAGTGTCTTTTACACATCAATGAAACTCATATCTTTTGAAATCTGTTCCATAAAAAATTGTTCTTTACAGCGAGGTGTTCCATCGCACAGGTTGTACTTGACTTTTAATTTGATGGTCCCATCTAAAAAAAGCTATAATTGTGAAAAGGGTGGAAAATATTTGAGTTTTTATGATACGTTAGGCTCATAATACTTGTCTGAGACTCCGCTAAGGGGCTATTAAATCAACAATTGTTCGGATATTTGGTCTGTAACTCATGGAAATGACATTAAGTAGAAAAGTGACATTGACATTTAAGACTCTTTACCAAGAATTCGTTTCAAAAAAGTAAATTGTTCCCCTAATCCAGCAATGGAACATTTAATCTTACTATATTGAACAGATTTGGTAAATGTACGAGTATGAAGAAAATTATTAAGAAATATCTTAGTAAAAAGCAAAGAAAATTAGGAGAAGAAAACAAAATTAGTAAATGTATGAAGAAAGTTATTTGGAAAATATTTCAGTAAAAGAGGAAAATACTTGTCAAGCACTATTTGTAACTAAAGCGATGATCAAACTATATTTCTCAAATAAGTATGACCTTTCTTTATATTTGAACTAGTTAAGATTATTTTGAATAAGAACCGATCTTATAAATGCTTCTACCCTGTTCAGTTTTGTATTCCCACATAACTTATACATTACTACATTTTGTTAGCCTCTGGTTAAAGCCCTTGTTTAAAACTACAAATAAATCACCAACAATTCATTTAGTCCTTGACTTAAATCTTGTATTTTAAACATGCTAAATGTTCTTTTCAGAGAGTATGAACCCGTAGTACCATATAATTGCTGTAGGATACTAAATCCCATATTTCAAAATGTGCAAAATGATTTTTTCAGAGAGTATGAACCCGTAGTACCATATAATGGCTGTAGGATACTAAATCCCATATTTCAAAATGTGCAAAATGATTTTTTCAGAGAGTATGAACCCGTAGTACCATATAATGGCTGTAGGATACTAAATCCCATATTTCAAAATGTGCAAAATGATTTTTTCAGAGAGGATGAACCCGTAGGAGCATATGATGGGTGTAGGATACATGGCAAAATTCAAGTTAATAAACTTGCAGGCAACTTCCACATCACTGCTGGCAAGTATGTATCAATGACACATTAAATTTGTTCAATTAATTAAAGGTGTTCTGTCACTTATTGAAATGATATTTAGGCATGTATTACAACATTTTGACAAATCATAATCTTATGTATGTCTTAGCCTCAAAGCCAGAATCAGAGCTGTAGGTGGTGAAAAGATTGCAAAAAAACATGAACAGTGTACAGATGACCTACAGTACTAATATGACATGTATTCTTTACCATGTCAAATGTGATATCTCCCAAAAGATCTGGCCAGACAATTCAGTTTTATATGGAGGGTAAACAATGCAGGTGATCTGTTTCACCATTTTGATTACCCATACTCAGATTTTTACTCATTTCATTTGTCATGAGTTTTCATTTGTCATGAGTTTTAAAGTGACAGTGCACCTTTGTCAGTTTTTGAATTTGAACTTTTCATGATAGTATATCTCATTAGAATTTGAGAAACAGTCTAATGCACAGATCCACGAAAGTCTTCAATTATTAGGCAGTCTACCATACATTAATACATACCTATTAACTTATTCACCTTGGTTTCTTATGGCTCTGCTCAAGGCCATGTTGTAAAGCTATTCATCTTTATTACTATCATGTAATGATCAATTTTTAGAAGATTCTGACATATGTATTATTATGTAATGCAATTTAGGTTGTATTTATTGAAAAATATCATGTAACGTGTAATTTAAATTGAACTATCATAAAGTCAGAAAAATAGTATTTTCTGGTTGATGAATAAATGACAGACATTTTAAGAAAAAAGTTATGTGTACAGAAACAATATTTAAATGCCTGGGGATCAGCATCCTCCTAAGTAGGGGTCCAGAATCCGTACCTCCTTCTTCCCCCTGCTATAACCAATTTGGAAGTGCCCGATTAAACTGAATCACATGATCTAATTATGCACAATGAGTTATACATGATTTCTGTCGTAGTGTTGCTACAGCCAATCAGATTGTGAGTTCTTAATCAGGGAAATGCTAACTGCTTAACGTAGGGGGTAAAAAGTTGAATATATTCTGGATTTTGAAGCCCTGTGATCGGAGCAGTGCAGTGTTCCAGATAGTAATTTAAATTGTATTTTATATATAGGAGTTTGCGGCAGACCTGAGGGGGTTAGATAGGGATGTCACGGATTATATATTAAATACATATTGATTTTATTATTGATTTTAGATCCATACCTGTCATACCAGCTGGTCATGCACATTTGTCAATGTTTGTCAACAGCAATGGTAAGCTTGCAGTGACATCTATCTGTTGTTGCATGTACTAATCCTTTCATTGCATATTCATATTTTAAGTCATCTTTGTGGTAATCCTTTTAAATTATACTAAAAATGATCATTAGCTGCCAAAGCCCAAATTAATTTCTCAAAATATTGTAAATAACGCAGATGCGAGTAGGTAGTTACCAGTTTCACCACTAGGTGGCTCGTTCGGGTCAGATAGCATGGCGGGTATAGAGGAAAGTTCCCTTTAACTTAAATTACATCTGTTTTAGTGGTTCAATTTTCATATAACCCTTATGTATCTAATAGTTATGCAAATCAAAATATGTCCAGTAAATGAAAATGTTATCTGACCAATACAAGAAAAGATATTTCACTTTTTGTAATTTTGTAACATGGGCTCTATGGAGAATCAACCCGAACTAGAAGTCACAATTTCAAAAATAATTAAATTTTCAAACTTGATAAACAATTTTCGAAACGATATTTCTAGATGTACTTTTACATGTAGATTTCAAATATAACATCGCTTTGACTGAATTTTGAATATTTAATGGCGTAAATCAAGATTTTTTCTACTCGCATCTAGTCTATTGCAACTGATGAAAATTAAGTTTCTTTTTTGATGCTAGAATGGCAGAATTGTGGAATGGCACAATTCAGGAATTGTAATTTGCAATAAACTAAAAATATGTAATTTCAGATAAAATCTAATAAAATGTAACAACATTTTTAGGAATATTTTGGTGTTATAATGCTCATTTATGTATAATATATGAATTGCAGAATACAGAATACAATGTTAATTTTGAAGGCCATCTATAGATGGTGCCTCTGCATACTGTACACGGTTATGTTCATCATTGAACCTAACCATGAATGCCACTAACTGGTTTAAAATATGAATATGTTTTTGTTATGTTAGATGTAGCACTGTTACATATTGTGGACTTGATGTTGTGTTACAAGAATGTTCTGACATTGTTTTGAGTTCATTGTAATTACTTCCAGTATATTTGGCTATCAGTCAGGTACTATATTCACATACTGGTATATTGTAAAAGAATCTAATTTGGAAAACAATGATTTGGTTATTATTTTCAGTAAACAAAATATTTGGCTGATTTTCACAGTTTACTAAAATGAAATGAAATGGAAATTATTTGGTTCTACATCGAGTACATTTGCTTTGTTTTACTAAGAGATTTATTTATAAAATCTTGAATTTGTTTGGAATATAATCCTAACACAACAAAGCATTGGCTAATACATTTTTATGCTTTCGATTTTATAACCAATGTTTTAACATTGTAGCTAACAGTTCTCTAATTAGGTGAAAGTATTCAGAATCCATCTTATGAATACATTTTTTCTTCATTTCTTCAGTTTTTAGTCGGAATAACTACTAGATACCACTGTTTAACAAATGTGACTGATTGTGTCATCCTTACCTGTTCAATGGGCTCCTATGGCAGTTAAATAGCGCATTTTGCAGCTCGGCTATTGGCTGATAATGACAACAAAATCCTCTTCCCAGTTTTCCCTATTCAAATAATGAATTCTGCATCCAAAAGAGCAATTTTTCTGCGTTCAATGGAATGGAAAACTGTGATAAAGGAGCATCCCAGAATATTAAACCACAAAATGTTAAGGTAGTACAAAAAACTGTTGAAATCTGACGAATAATAATACATATTGATGATTTCACTTTTCTTTGTACTCATCATACTTTTTGAAATTCTGGATGTTTTGTATGTATATTTACATATAGCTTTACTATCACAGCTTCTATAATATGCAAAGCATGTTTTCAATTCATCCAATGGTGTAATGTTCTGTTTTGTACAACTTCTTGTGAGCAGATCTATCCCCCACTTTGCTGGCCACGCCCACTTGTCTGCTATGGTTGATAGATCAGGTAGGAGTTAGTCTATTGTACAGTCCTAGGACATAATATGGCCAATTTTCCCATGTTAAATGTTCCTGGGTCTGTGCTGTAGACATCATACAGAGGGATCTTCTGTAGATACGATTTTATGAAGAAACTAGACTGTAAGATCATGCCATGTTCGGAAAACTAAAGTATATGTTTTGAGGTTAATATCCATTGTTTACCAGAGACAACTCTTTAAGGGGGAAACTCATAATGATGTCTCCTTTCTTTCCAAAATAAAGTGGAACAACTTATTTTACTAAATCTCCCATTACCTGGCTCATGGGCTTTCAACTAGTTGAAAGCTATGCCTGGCTGTACCTATCTCTTTTAATGAACCTTTCCAAATGTCATTCTTTGACTACAATTTTTTAACGAGATTTATATTTTATTTTTATCATTTATTTTAAATCTACCTTTTATTTTCATTTCTTACTTTGTAACATTCAAAAAGTGGTAACATTTTGTTATAGCTACATTTAGCATTTGGTATAACAAATTATTACAATATGTATTATTCAATAACGGTTTCTTGTCTACACATTTGTTCAATTACTGCATGTTCTTTTTGAATATCATTAATACAGCTTACAATAGATTTTAGATTAGCTTTAACCCTATCATCGTTGACTTTTTTCATACTATATAGTACTATATTAAATTGTGTAAGTTTATTTAAAAGCATGTTATTTAAAAAAAAAATTAAATGGGATATGGCTTGGTTAACAACAGAGACCCTGCTATATATATTCCTAGTTTCAATATTGACCTTGATAAAATGAGAAGAGTCGTTTGTAATACATGTATGTATGTATATCAGTATTTTGGATATGATGTACATAAACGTTTCACTTTCGTTCCATTGAGTTTCATGTTTGATTTCAGATTACAATTTCTCTCACCGAATTGATGAGTTCTCATTTGGTGTGCCTACTCCAGGTGTGGTGAACCCACTAGATGGGGATGAAATGATTACTAAAGACAGTAAGTACAATAAAACATGTCTTATTCAAGTACCAGTGGAACTAGCTAAATTCTTTGGATTGACAGGTGTTCACATTAAGAGGTTTTTCAACAGGGATGGCTATGGCGGCAAATTAAAAATTGAACTGAAAAGAGATGTTTGGATATACAGGTTTACTTATAATTTGGTGTGATATATTGTGATGTTACAGCCTGAGAAAATAGGCAAGCTTTGATTGATGATTCAAAAATAAGGTAATTTACTTCTTGGAGTAAATGTTTGATCTTATGTTGTGGGTATCATTTTCTTACTAGAAAATCTTCATTTACTTTCAGACTACCATATGTTCCAGTATTTCATCCAAGTCGTTCCAACTAAAGTCCACACGAGTCATACTAACCTAGAAACATACCAATATGCTGTCACTGAGAGGGTAAGATTTTATTTTGGGTCTGTTGACAAGTGAATCATGGTTCTGCTTTGAATCAACAAAAACAGCAGACCTTAACCATTCACATTCATTCCCCAGGACAATTATTCTTATGTTTGTTAATTAAGAAATATAGATCGAAGAGAAGGGGTAATAACGTCAAATACACCCCACAGGGCTAGGCACAAAAGTTCTCTGTTCGAAAGCGTTTGTCCCCTAAGCCCTAAGGGGTGTATTTGACAATATTACCCTTCTCTGAGGTCTATATTACAATTAGACATTGAAAACTCACCAAAATGTTTACGAATATTCATTATGGTCCGCCATTACTACGACCCGCCATTATGACGTCACACATCACACGTATTACCAGGAGTATTCTTCGCGAATATACCTTGGGTCAAATGTTGACTTTGTTTACAGTTATAGAAGGCGTGAATACAGTCATGTTCGAATATAAAATATATTGTTATTCTTTCGGCTGTGATTGACCAAGTATTGACCAATATAACAACATTTTTGATTGGTTGCAAATATACAGCCAAACTTCTTAAGTTGACACCTCTAGAAGTTGAACACTTCTGGAAGTTGACTACTTTTCCAAATCCAAATACCCATTTACTGCATATAAATGAACCTCTATAAGTGGAATTTGTGAAAGTAAATAAGTGAAACACACCAAAGGTGTTCCACTTATACAGGTTTTACTGTATTCATTAATTTAGGAGTATTCCTATTCCTCAAGTATTGTCAAAATTTCTCAGTATCTCTATCTTGTTATTTTTACAGAACAGAACAATTAACCATAGTAGCGGGAGCCATGGTGTAGCGGGAGTATTCGTCAAGTATGATTTATCTGCATTAAAGTTCACTGTGACAGAAGAGCATAAGCCTTACTGGCAGTTCATGGTTAGGCTATGTGGCATCATAGGAGGCATATTTGTTACATCAGGTATGTTGAGGCCCAATGGTTTGGTAAAACTTTTTTTTCATTAGAGTGCAACTAACTCGATAAAAGGCCTGTGCTGGCTAGAACTGTCTCTGGTCCTAGCCAGAATAAAGATACCAGATTGATTCAGGGAGCTGTTTCTACCTTAGGATATCAAGTTACATTATCCTACCACAGTTGAATTAGAGGGAGAGATACATGATGATTCAATAAGCTAAAAATGTTAAATATTTGAACATTTTAATTAATTCTTTTTTGGGCACCATCCCTATTCCCTAATTTACTTTTAATTACATGTATACATAGAGTAATCATTGACTTTGCTGTGACCTGCTTGTTCTTTTTAAGACCAGATAACATGAAAGTCAATGGGATATTTAAAAATGGGATCATACTTTTGACTGTAAATAAAATTCAAGCTTGAGGTTTAAATTATTTTTTATTATCAGAGTACTCAATACATTTTAAACATACAGAGCAGGGCAGAGGCAATGTATTATTGGCCCTGTTAATTAACTATTAATATAATTGAAAAATAAAAGTTGCGATGAAGACTTATGGGTCAAGTGAATTTGATACGGGTTGTGTAATATTTATTTGTTTCAATCATTGTTTCACCTATGGCACATATGCATCCTCCATATGCAGGTTTCTAGACATCGTATACAGTACTAAATACTAGAAACCATATGATTGGAGGTTAAAACGATGGAGAGTTCAATTGCTGATTTGTCAGTGCATTTCATCCGACTCCTGCATCTCTCAGCCTGGAGAAATACTCGTCAATCATCCCATTGGCCTGGAAAACATAAATAAGTTTTAGAGTGTAGGCCTCATAGTCCTGGGGGTTTGGACAAAAATTCTTTCAAATTTAAGCAGATTTTCACCATTTTTAGCACTTTTCAAACTGTCAAATTTGAATCCCCCTAGATTTTTTCAAAAGCTGAACCCTAGAAACCGAATGAGGTTAAGCACATGGGAGTCAATGGGATATTTGGTATTTGGCAAATTCTGGCTACCGGCAGGTCTGTAGTGGGGGGTCCACAAGTGCTTCTGAAATCCTTACTTAAATGACTGAGATTAACTATACAGGTTTATTCTAATTGTGGATTTGCCAATACAGGGTCTTCTAGATCTATTAAGTATTAGGTTTAAATCTATAAACCATTTTATATTTTCAATAAAATACTAATCCAGTTGTAAAGATCTTATTCTAAGGGTATTTGGGTTATATAAGTTATACAGTTTCTGAATATTTCATGAAACGATTTGCCAACAAAGTCAATTAAAGTTCAGTGTCCTGTGTCAAGGCTGACTCTAATGTCATGTGTCAAGGCTGACTCTAATGTCATGTGTCAAGGCTGACTCTAATGTCACGTTTCAATGCTGACTCAAATGCCAATGTTAGCCCTTACAGTAACAATTCTACACGCATGTGGTTTTCAGTTATTCCAAAATGTCCATTTTGAAATACTCAAAGGCACACTGTACTTCACAGCTGATTCTGGCTTTAGAGTCGCTTTCATGGTTTAAAACCTTTTCTGGGTGTTCTACTTTCGAAGTATGTATGAAGGTCTATATTCAAAGTCGACTATTTAGCCTTAAAAAGCTTTATTTAGACTGACGATTGAAAGTTGTTCCCAACAACTTGTTCCCAACAACTTTCAGCTCATCTTTATTGAGAGGAACTGGAAGTGAATTTTCCAGTCGAGTAAATTGTTGCGCGGAAGTCAAAACATCACAAATAGATATCATAGTAGGCATTTGAAGATCATTAAGAAGCATTTAAAATCGAATCCACGGCAAAAATATTCCCACACCGACCTCAGAGAAAACACTTCCAGTTTTATAATCGCTGAAACATGGTATGTATACTTGTGTTGATTGTTAAATTACAAAATAGGTAGGATAAAGAAATTGTCAAAGTCGTTTGGTCTTGTCCCAGAAATTATATTTTGTTATTTTTATTGCCCAGAATTCCTTTAAACAAAAATAAATAAAAACCATTTGAAAAATCAGTTGCATAAAATGTTAATGTTATGGCTTGACCCCCTTTTAAAGTTTTGCAACTGTTTATTTCTTGGACATTTGAATTTCACCGGAAGTCAAATTTTTCTCATAAGAAAATATTAATTCACCTCCTTCCCATCTAACAAAATGAATTCCATCATTCCAAAACCATTTCTCATATAATAATTTTGGCCATAATAATGGACACCTAAGTTTTAAAACTTACCCAAACAAAAAATGTAGCCAAACCAGCACTAACTGCTGTCACCTCAGGAAGCTCGTACACAGCGAGAATATGCTGTGCTCGCATAATTACTTCATGCTGTACAAAATCAACTCTGAATTCTGTAACTTTGCGCTTCAGACTTTCTCTCCCAGTTTTCCCAATTAAAGCCTGAACTGAAACCCATGTCTGCAAAATATTTTACGAACAACTGTAAGCAATGTAAAACCATAATTCATATCACTATCTCAAGTTTCTGCTCCTCCTGCTCCAATATTTATTCTGCAGCGTGTGGAAAAAGAAAGGAAAGGGGTGCAAGATAGCGCTTGATACAAGCAAGACGATAATGTCAACAATAATGTCAATATGAGATATGTGTGCATGATAAAAAAAATATTTGAAGAAACTTGACCATTATAACTTACATGATTTCATATATTTATTGTTTACATTATTGAGCAAACATTAACGAAGTTTCCAAAGATAATATTTGTAATTTTTAAAGCGTTCTTTTTCTCTAGCAACTGCGGCATTACGAAGCTCCATTGGTTGATATAGCAACCGCTTCTCATGTATGTTATTTCGTTGATACTGCTCTAGGATCATCCAGAGTTCTGTTATATGTTGTGTTGATTTACATATCACAAATACATACTGTTTGACAATAAATGATACAAAAATATCAAATGTGAACCACTGGGGAACATAAGCATATAAAGAGGAAAATTCTGTATGTTCCATTCCAAGTTTGTCTGCAAGGAAGCCTGTTGTATATACATCCTCAAGCCAGAATAATGGCTGATATAAAGAAGCATTATATAATGCCTTTCCTACATTTGTCGCTAACAGATACACGGGTCCATCACAGTAGGTAGGGTAATGATCACCTGGGAATTCTTCGGATGTAACATACCACTTACTGCTAGAGTCTCTTATTACATGTGAACGATTACCTGTATCAATATTGCACAGGATTAAATTTTTGTCTCTTCCTTGCTTTTCAAATACTTTTAAATGTCTAACCAGTTGAAAGACGTTTACAAAAATATCATCATCACATTTAAGAATGTATCTTGCATCTGGACAGAAATTTGTGACCCATTTTAGACCCATGATTGTCTTTAAAGTTAAGTTCCTGTAAGTATCCATGAATGTTTCTTGTATAATATCCCCGTAAATTGCACTTTCCTCTTGAATAGCGTGGTTTATAGTTAATTTCCCAGAATCCCCCATGAGGAAAACCACCTTTATGGCAAACCCATTTACTGTTTTCTCTCCCGCCCATGCTTGGCGAATCAGCAATCTTTGGGTGGAATGATCCGTGGCGCTGATAATAAAAACGATGATATCAGTCTTGCTAGCACATATTTTTTCCTCATTAATTTTGTAGTGAAAATTATGGGGATTGACTATTTTATCGTATTCTGTACGCCATGGTTTATTCGTGCTGTTTATTGTCTTTGGTATTTGGTCATTAGACCGTGTCTTTGGTCCATTGACTGATGATGCAAGTGAGGATTTATTGCTTTTTTCATTAGTGTCAACAGCTATGAATTGTTCATCTTCAATATTCAAAGGTGAATTTAATTTATCGGATTCTGCATCATCTTTATCTTCTTCTTCACTTCTCACTTGTCCTTCATTATTATCATGTGCATGTGACAGTTTTCTGTCATCGTCTGTCTCCGTTATATCATGTACACTTGTTAAAGCTGGTTCTGCATCAAGTGAATGATTTGCTATGCTATGTATGTGGTCCTTCGCTACATATCCCGGTGATAATATGGCCTGCAGTTTCTTTGAGTATTGCTGAATGTTGTAATGTTGTTTTTCAGCACCTTCTTTTTTTGTATATGTGCTATATCCTCCAAAATACATGTATAGATTCATAAATGTCACAAGTGTGGCAAGCACAGAGGCAAGGTATCTAAGAGTAAGCTTCATTTCTGTTTTTATTCTGTCATCCTCTCACATACATTTCCATATATTTAACCTAAATTCCATGTATAAATGTAGTTGTTTACTTTCTCAGCACCAATTTGTTCTTTCATTTCTAGTTTTGTACATATGAAACATATGAAACATTTATTTTTAGTTTGCATGGTCTCATAGCTATCTGAATATGTGATGATTTGCATTGCGGGGGCTATTTTTAAACTCATTATTTTTATAAGAAGGTCTTAGATCTAAATTCCCTTTGTGCTTAATCTTTGATTTTGACTTGGTTTCAAAGAAATATGACATAATCTTAGTCAGTGATAAGGATTATTGGAAAATTTTATTTAAAGTATAAATCTGTTTATTCAAAGAATGTTATGTAATTTTATTCTACTTTTTGTGGCCTTGGTTCAAATTGAATTTTAAAGATTACATAATTTGCATTCTACTTTCTTGTGGATAAATTTCACTTGTATTGTTCCTATTATTCCATTCTATGGGTCACCCAAACAGATATTTCTAGTATTTCCACATTTATCCTTTCAGGAACACAGATTTGTTAAGTACAGTAAAACCTGTCCTTTGGTACCTCTAAAAAGTGTTTCGCTTGGGAGGTGTTCCACTTATAGAGGTAATTTCACATTGAGTCAATTGGTCCTTGAACTCTAAAAAGTGTTCCACTTACAGTGGTGTTCCACTTTTCGAGGTGTTCCACTTTACAGGTTTCACTGTATTTTGAGGATGTGGATTCCATGTTTAAGCGTAAACCATGATACCATGGTGGATCATGGTTAGCAAAGAAAATCAAAGAAATTCCAATCAACTATCTGACCATGGTGGCAATGATCATTTTTGTAAGTTTTTGATCATGGTATGATCAAATATCATGATCATACATGGTATTTCCTTGGCAAAGTCATGACTGTCAATTACCATTATATTACCATGGTATTTCATTGTTGATAGCATTTCATGGTATTTCATTGTCACTCTTGACCATTAAATACCACAGTCATACCATCACTACCATGATGGTATTTCATTGCCGAAATCAACTGTCATGGTATTTCATTGTTAATTGACCATCAAATACCACAGTCATAATATGGTATTTAGATTGTATCTAAATCATGAAATCAACTTATTTATGATCTATGAAATAATGTAATCTCGAAGTGCTGATGTAAATATAGATGGCATGTGTGTAGACTGATCCCCTCCTTCAAAATCAATTTATTTATAACTACTGGTAATATTCAAAAGATGGCAGGGTTGATCTCAATTCCTGGTTATATTTACACATGTATACATTTATAGTAAAATCGCTGCACATTTTAATGTACCCTACCCCAAGTGTCATCTATGCTGTCTCATTCACTTAGGATTTGACATGGAAATCTGTTGATACAAGTAAGAAAGTACAGGGTTGGGGTAGGAGGGAAATGGCACTGCACTGCATAGCCCCATCTTAAACAAACTAATGAGTCATTATATTCACTTGACGCTAGTTGTCACTTAGGATAGTTCCTCCCCCCTAGTGTAATCTATGCTGTCTTGTTCACTCCATATAAGGTATGGGCAAGGAAATCATGCGTGGAGATCACAAGACAGCACATCTGATACAACTAAGAAAGTACAGGGTTGGGGTGGGAGGGAAATTTCAGATAGAATCTTTCAAACCATTTGCCAAAGTCTAGAAACCTACAGCCATCCACTGACTGGCAACCCACTACTGCATAGCCCCTCAAGGAATCAGTGGCCAAGGGATGTAAAGTAGATTCTCTCATGCTAAAGTAGATATCACTATGTAATGTATTTGAACTCAAATTTAGCCTTTATCAATCCTAACATACCTAACCACCGTCGGTTTATGACCTAATCCGCGGTAATGAGCTTGTTGACAAGCTTGTTGGAATAAAACTGATCATTTCAGCAAAAATCGTGACCTTGCCCTGCAGAAATGGAGATAATGTTCCACATCTATTTCTGAGCGCGATACAACAGCGTCCCTTCGCGGTCAGTCTGTTTTGAATATAACTCAAATACTAGTTGACAGATTTACTTCATATTTGGTTGAAAGATGTACAAATACAGGTGATTAGAATTGGTGAATAGTTTTAGGCTAAAAAGATTTTCTCAAGATGACTGCTTCTTTTAAAACTCAGCAAGTATTTCATCAATTTGCTTGAAATAATACTGGTATGTTTATTTCTAGATTATCGACAATGTCTATAAGTTAAGGCAAAATATGTCACAAAGATTCAAAATGACTGCCACTTTTATTGCAGAGAAATTAGGCTTTTAGCTCTTATCATAATTCAAAAAGTAGTCCATCAATTTGCTTGAAATTATACAGCTACCTTTATTTCAAGATTATCGACAATGTCTACAAGTTTCAGCAAATCATGTCACAAAAATTCAAAATGGCCTAATTATAGGTATTCAATAGTGACCCCTGTTACACAGGCCAGTTGAAATGCTTCGTTACGAAGCAATTTGACAAAAAGCTTCGTAACGAAGCAATTTTTGGCCAGTGTAACACCTCCGCCTTCGTTAGAAAAGCTTAGTTGATAACGAAGCAATTGAGTAGAAAATTCAACGAAGGTTAGGTCCCAACAAAGCTTTTTTGGCCAGTGTAACAGGTAGCTTCGTTAGAAAATGCTTAGTTGGCGGTTTGCGCATTGGCGTAATAAAGAGCACATTCATCATTTTGTACTAAATGAGAGGAATCGCGAGGAAAGAACATGTTTTAGTACGTATTATTATAATGCTACGTTTTGATTAAAATAATTACCTGTTTGCGTCACTGATTGACGCTAGCTCAAGCCCTAAACGCCACGTACAAATGTGATTCACTGTCTTTCGTAGCATTTCATTCGATTCCCTGCCTTTCCTTGCATTGATATGACAAAAAGTTTTAAATAAAAAAAACGCAGGTTTTACCGTATATGTATACGGTTGTTTTGAAACGTTTATCTGATCCATTAGAGAATAAACCTAGAATATTTTAATGTCCCTCTTTCGGAAAACTCCGTCTCAAGTGGGGAAGGGTAAACTTTTGAAATTACATAAGATATGCTTACTAAATAGAAAGTTGTGGCATACATGTTTAATATTAATTTTTCTTGCGCCTCGAATATTTATACCTTGAATGTAATTCTAAAGGTGTTATACCATGATACTGATACAATTGCTTCCCGGTGAATCACATCAGGGAATTTAGCCGATTTGATTGATTCGAAAATGTCTCTCTTCAGAAATCGTATTCAACTGATTATCACCCCATTGCAATACTTGTACTAGTCATTCTATTATTTCATTCTTCGACGATTTTAAATTGTAATTGAATTTAAACTTCACGTTTAAATATATTGAATTAATTACGTTTCAAAACTTCCGTATACAAATACGGTAAAACCTGCGGACAAGGAACGGTGGCCAAAACAGAGAGGCTGCATGTTTTAGGCCAGCCCCAAACACTATTGATGTGTCGTAAGACGCTGCTTACAACTGATATTTAAGTTTCTTCCTTTTTGCGCCATTTTCGAATTCAACGGACGGCTGATGGATTAACATTCTAATTTGTGTCAAACTCACTCAAATATGCATGGAATATTGGCGAGACGGGTAATATTCATATTAAAATGAATTGGTCATGAAATAGTAGTTAAACCACCAGCTGAACACCGAGATATTTTAGTAATGGCTACACTATTTGAAATATAACTGAGAAGTCCATTTGGAAATTGAACGTTTTTATACGATATTACATACTAGTCCTCTGAATACCCAAATCCAATTCCTCCTAGTAATTAACATAGGCCTATCTTTATTCCAAAGGAAATGATAGAAAATGAAAACAATACTTGTAATCGTATTGACAGCTGAAATATATAAAAATCGAAATGATAGGAAAAATGTATGGACATGTGTTCGGAATGATCACATTCATCTGGTTTTATTTTCCCGAGAATTTTGAACTAGTTAAATTTTTGAGTTTGATCAATGGTTTATATCAAAAGAATAAAAATATTAATCATAATAAGTGGATGGGGCAGATGAGTAATGCGCACGCGCAACGAAGCATTTTAAGTGCAGTGTAACACCAAATAATTGCTTCGTTAGGGTTGGATAAAGCCAGTGTGGACACAATTTTTTCGCTAACCTTCGTTACAAAAATGCTTCGTTAGACTCAACCCAGCAGTGTAACAGGTACCAGTGTCTATAAGTTTAGGCAAAATATGTCGCTAATTTTAAGCTAAGTTACTATCAACCTTTCATTGCAACCGTCATTTCCTTAGGTCTCACTGTAAAATATTAAAAATATTGAAACCTTCCCATGTGAATACAGTACCTATAGTACTATTTTTATTTTACATGTATTCCATATTTTTCAGTCTGACCCCCAGGGGCCATAAATGGGGGGGGGTCGGAATTTTCGTTAATTTTGAGATCTTTCTCAAGTATAGCTTTATTATACTCAAATTAAAGGCAATTTAGAGTAAATTGCCAATTTAGAGAGTAAATTGCAAATATTGTATCAATTTTCTGATTCAAAATGGCTGCCTAGAGTAGGAATTTAGTTTTTTTGTTGGGATTGGCTACTATGTGAAGTTGCTGATTTCTAGTTTTCAATAAATTTGAGTCAGCAATTGTTGAGAAAATACTTGTCAGAAAGCGATTCACTTTTTGTGACACCCTATATATTAAGCAAATATTTCATTATTTGGAGGACAAGTCAATACCTGTTCATTTCTTAATTCATTGAAAATGCAACAGGTATTGCCCGAGCATAGAATGAAATATTTGTTTTATTATATCATTGCTAGACATTCTCTACGATCACTGCATTTCAAAGAAATAAAGAATATTTGTTTTAGCCTGTGAAGATTTATTTTAATCAATAAATGTATCATAAACCCATCAGTCAACATAATTATGTACAAGTATCATTGTATAGTACACCTTTATTTTTGTCCATTGCAGTTGTCAGAATTCCCAGACAATACGCCAGGCAGTACATCTTTTATAATCTGAAAATTGAGGGAGCCGTGAAATACACTATGGTATTTTTGATTACATGGCTCAGAATCAGCCAATCAAATCACATGATTTCTAGCAATGATATATAATAATAGGCATTATATATTGGGAATATATGATGTCAAGAAATTTCTGGAAGGACTAGAGATTAAACTGGGTAAAATCTAGATTTGGCCATGAAAATTGTTTTTACCACTTAAAAGCCTATGAGCTCATATCTGCTAACACCTACCAGATAACTCTTATATGACGAATATTGTCAAAAGTTATTTCTTTTAACCATCTGGTAAAAGTTCACCAGCTTTTGGTATAATGTATCCACATATGTTTTGTTTACATTATTGAGCAAAGAACATTGTTATAAATAACATTTCAATGGATTTCAAAGAACAAACCATTAAACAAGTTTCCCAAGATAATGATTGTACTTTTCAAAGCGTTCTTTTTCTCTAGCTATTGCAGCATTTTTAACCTCATTTGGTTGATTTAGCAACCGCTTCTCTTGCATCTTGTACTGCTTTAGGATCAGCCACAGTTCTGCTATATGTTGCGCTGATTCACATATCACAAATACATAATGTTTGGTAATATATGATACAAATGTATTAAACGTGAACCACTTTGGAATAGCAACATATGAAGAAGTAAATTTTTTGTGTTTCATTCCAAGTTTATCTGCAAGGAAGCCTGTTGTATATACATCCTCAAGCCAGAATAATGGCTGATATAAAGAAGCATTGTATAACGCCTTTCCTACATTTGTGGCTAACAGATACACGGGTCCATCACAGTAGGTAGGGAAATGATCACCTGGGTATTCTTTATTTGTAACGTACCACTTACTGCTAGGATCTCGTATCACAGTTGCACGATCACCTGTATCAATATCACACAGGATTAAATTCTTGACATCTTTTCCTTGCATTTCATATACTTTTAAATGTCTAACCAGCTCAAAGACGTTTACAAAAATATCATCATCACATTTTAGAATGTATCTTGCATCTGGACAGAAATTTGTGACCCATTTTAGACCCATGATTGTCTTTAAAGTTAAGTTCCTGTAAGTATCCATGAATGTTTCTTGTATAATATCTCCGTAAATTGCACTTTCTTCTTGAAGAGCGAGGTTCATAGTTAATTTCCCAGAATCCCCTACGAGGAAAACCACCTTTATGGTGAACCCATTTACCATTTTCTCTCCCGCCCATGCTTGGCGAATCAGCAATCTTCGAGTGAAATGATTTGTGGCAGTGATAATAAAAACTATGATATCCGTGTTGCTAGCACATATGTCCTCCTCATTAATTTTGTAGTGAAAATTATGGGGGTTGACTATTTTATTGTATTCTGTGCGCCATGGTTTATTTGTGCTGTTTTTTGTATTTTGTCTATGGTCACTATTCTTTGGTTCTATGACTTTTGATGTATTTGACAATTTATTGCTTTTATCATGAATGATGTCACGCGCTATGGATTGTTCATCTTCATTGTTCAAAGATGATTTTAATTTATCTGATTTGGTATCAAATTCCTTTTTCCCTTCAATTCTAGCTTGCCCGTCATTGGAATCATTGGGTGGTTTTCTGTCATCATTCTGAATGGGGTCCTTTTCAACATATTCTGAAGATAAGTTGGGCCGGGGTTCCTTTGAGTATTCTTGAATACTGTATAGCTGTATATCAGCACCTTTTGTTCTTGTATGTGTGACATGTCCTCCAAAATGGTTGTATAGACTTATGAGTGCTATAAGTGTGACAAGCACAAATGTAAGGTATCTAAAAGGCAACTTCATATTTTTGTATTCTGTTATCCCCTCACATATATTTATTCCAAGTTTCATGCATAGTTGTTTACTTTGTTTATTTTTCTTTGTAGTTTGGTACACATGAAATATTAAACTTTATTTTCAGTATGTATAGTCTCATAACTACCTGGCTACATAACTGCAGAGTTATTTTTAAGTTTTGAAAGATTTTGATTTATTTTGACTTCTTATTTCAAATTGTAATCTTTGTCCATTTTAAAGATTAGTGGTACTGTACTGTTAAAAGACTGTACTGTTCAAATATGAATGCTATTTTCATGATGGATTAGGTTAATCCGTATTATCCCTCTATGGGTTGACCCTACGAGATTTCCAATATGTCCACTTGTTTAACTCCATCAGGAACAGATTTGAGTATTTTTATAATGTAAAAGTCATTTTTTAGATTTGGTTAGAATACATTTTTGTTAAATTAACTTGTAAAATATCTAAGCATAGGTGCCAAAGAGAAAGGACCCAAAACTGTAAAGAATCTAGCAAGAAAAACAAAATCTAAATGTAAAAAGAAAAATAGACCCTATGTATATCCCAAAAATATGATCCAATGTAAAATTAATATTATCTAATACCCCCTACACCCTCCAATCGAGAATCAATATCACAATCCAGGACCTGACCTGAAGTCATTGCAATACATGTTGAATAAAAAATTGGTAGCCAATACTCATAACATCAAAAAAAGTTGTAGCTACTAGTATGAATAAAAGATCAGCATCCAGTCTCAAATGATGTGGGATGGGCAAAACCAGTCTCGAAGTTCATTAAGATTGAATACCCTTGATCTAGTGCCAAGATCGCCTAAATCTTGATTGAAATGAAGTTGAACAGTTCAGCAAATACAAGAATTTACCAATGTACATATGTCTTTTAAGCTTCTAAAAGTCAGCATATATCTATCTCAGGATTCTCATGCACATATAGTATTACAAGATTAACATAACCTATAAAAAGCTTTTAAAAGTTCTTAGTCAGTGCTTTCAATAGGTTTCTCCAAGATTGGGTCCCTTGGACGTAATGATTTTCCAAAAATGTGTCTTTTAGTCAAAAAACTGTGTCCATTGAAAAAATATTCCTGGGAATTCAAAGTCACAGTTTTTTTTCACAATGGACAAAATAAAATTGATGTATCGCTTTTGCTATTTATCGGTCTAAATCAGCGTATAGCGAGTCTTGTGTGTCATTGAATGACACAGATACCAGCACTTGTGAGGGCTTTGTATAAAAAACCTCCTACCCACGTACCCTCGTACCCACGTACGTGGGTCCTGACCCAGTCTTTAAAGAGTTAAATTTTTAAATGTTTAAAACATTATTCAATCTCAGTTTATCCTGAATTATAGATGAATTTATGCATCCATATGCCTTTATTTATAGGTCTGACATCTCTCTAGTAAAATAAAATAAAGCCGGAATTGCATAAATGTTCATTATTTTTGAGCTATTTGATTTATGTTTTTGATATGTCGAAATGTTTTTTGTTGATCGGGCAGTCTTACCTGTATAACACATCAGTGCTGATTAGCAATCTCCTAGCCTTCGTTCAGTGCAATCCGTGCCTCCTGTTACCTCATGCAGATTGTAAATGTCCCGGGAAGTTTACCCTTGTCCAAAAGTTGACATCTTTTTAAAAATATATTTCTTAGAGTTTCCAACCAGTTAAATTCACCACATTTTATTAGATGTTTATTTCAAAAGTTATTAGAATTCATTCTTACGAATATTATACGTTATTAACGTATGTTAGTCAAAGATTTGGTGTCGTTGTTGTCCATTGTATTCACGTTTTACGCGCTAAAAGCTAGAAACTACAAAGCTGAACTTTTATCATTCAAACCAGTTTTACATCAAATCATTGTCAAAATAAAACTCTACTCTTCATATTACCTAATTATTGATCAAACGGCCATGAATAATGTCGAAGTTTACAAAACCAAACTTACACTCCCCTGCATAAGTTTGGCAACTCTAACTTTTAATTCCATCTAAATGATTCACTGAACTAGTGCGCACAATTATCCTTAAATTGTGCCAAAAAGCGATTAAAAACGAATATAGCGAATCCTTCTACTTTTCAAATATTTCGTTATTAGATTATTCATGTTATTTACCTAATTTTGTTGCATTCGTCTATTAGGCTTCCATTGCGGTGCAAGTAATTTCGATTTGCATTCTCCTGACTGGAGTACAAATGTAAGAAATGAGAGGAAGTAAATGTTTCCAAACCCTTTTCTTGCAACTTTGCAACTTTTCAAGTGTGAACACAAGAAGGCAACAGTCGGACACGACGGACAGTGCTACTTGAACGGCAGATCTGCATGAGCTTTTACTGTTTAGGTAGTTATGTAGAACTAAAGGTACGTATCACACTACCCTGCCCCTGCCCCCAAACTGTAGGCTAGCCTTTATTTCTTCAAAGGGTGCTGCAAAGAGGTTACAAACTGTGGAGAACGTTTGTTTATTTCCATAGTTCTGAAGGTACAGTATACTAGATTTTAGCTACATATATTCCAAGTGTTCTTCCCTTGCATTACATAGATTCATCGAGCAGTTTGCAAGGTGGCAGAAAAGCCCCATGGATAACATTTGCAATTCCACTTCAGTCTGTAATTAATTTTAAGAAATACATGCTACAGTATGGCGGAGGACAGTGTTTTATAATGTGTTACCTTGTTTACTACGCCAGCATCATTAGTTGATGCCATGGTCACATTTGCCCCGATTTTCAGCACCGGCGCCCGGCCAATGAGTATTTTGTTCAAAAGTGAATTCAATTCTGAACGAAATACTCAATCGGCCGGGCGCCGTAGTGAAAATCGAAGCAAATGTGACCAAGGCATAAGCAACCCTATCCATTCATAATAGATCTGATTTTCCTAAGACCTGTAGATAAGGAGTTTGTTGTCCGGGTGCCCGCTATAAAAAACAGCTACTCCATAGTAAGATAGTGTTCCTAGTAAAATTAATGATGATTTGAACAAAGATGTATTGAATTCAGACGGGGCTACAGGTATGCATTATTGACTTTATATGGGGATATCAGCATAATATTCAAAGCCAGCATTGATATTTATTTGGCTGTCGTGAGATTCAAACTCAATAAAACGTGGATCTGCGCATCGATCTTTGTAACGTTATTTAGATTGTCATAGATATAATTACACTTCATTTATACAAAATTCTATATACATTATGGTAAATTAAAAGGTATAGGACTATTAAAAGTATGACTGACAAAAATACTAAATATATGCGCTTGGTCGAATTTGCGCCAAGCAATAGATTGGTTGTACACTGTAAGACTGCCCGATCAACAAAAAATCGCTTCGATAAATCAAAAACAACACTCAAATAGCTCAAATGAACATTATGCAATGCCGGCTTTATTTTAGGCATATGGGTACATAAATTCATCCATAATTAAGCATACATTGAGATAGAATAATGTTTAAAAAATGTTAAAGATTTAACTCTTTAAAGACTGGGTCAGGACCCACGTACGTGGGTACGAGGGTACGTGGGCAGGAGGTTTTTTATACAAAGCCACTTGTGAGGTATAACTTATATTCAACAATTAAACTCACATTTTCTTTGCATATTTCGAGGCAATTTGCTATTGATTCTGCTTTAATTTAGGGGCAATCTGCGCGAGGTTCAATTTTTTGGTTCAGTTTCTTGAGCATGCGCATTCTGAAATAATGATCACGTGATTGCACTTGACCAATAGAAAATGGTTTGAATCAGGTCTTCAGCTAGCAGCCCATCGTACGACTAGTACTGATAACTGCTCAGAAATTGAGTATTGGATAACTATTTGTCCTATCACATGCCTCGTACTATTTCTATCAGAAATCAACTTCTAGGATGGAAACTTTGAAAGAAAATTTTATTTCTTTTTGAAATAGAATTTCCTTCAATTATTTAGTGGATTCTGATGAAATAAAGAGACTGACGGTAAGATCTTTATCAAATCATTCATCCATAGTTTATTTTGTACATATGACTTTGCACTGCGTCCAAAAAACGCAGTTCATTTTTATTTCCGGGTCCAACATTTTTTCTTTGCGTTTTTTCAATGCTTGGACAGCGTTATTGAAAACACAGTTAGTGTTAAGTTATATTGATCTTTGATATTATCCTCTGATGACTGAATTTCAAACATAAAAGCTAATATGTAAATCTTTTAATTTAGATTGTGTTAGTAAATGATTTTTGATCCTTTCTCTTTGGCACTTGGCTTGTGCATACATATTTGCATTCTGATCTGTTGATTTTTTGATTTGACATAGAATTTAGATATTTAGATACAAAAGCTGGTGATTTCATGTAAGATTTGTTTCAAGAGAAAGCCAATACTCCTATTCGCGATAAGAGTTCAGGTGGTAATTTACATAAATATCTCCCATGATGCATTACTTTGGATTTGGAAGGGACAAATTTTCATTGGCCCGCCGAATGAGTCGAATACTCTGAATGTTTCTCAGCTTTTGATCTTCCATCAGCCCTCAAGCATAGTTATATTAACCAATCTATTCAATAATATCAAATGTTCCACCCCTAATACCACGAAAAATCAAGTCAAATTGGGTTAAAGATAGTCCCAGATTGTTTTTACATTTCATTTGATAAATGTTGAACCAGTGTTTTAATGAGTGTCCAAATATCAAAACGGGTATTTTACTCATGGTTATATTTGTACATAATATATACTATTATATACGTAATCAAAGTTATTAAATCACTTCACTCACCGAATGACGGTAGACGTATCGTAGTCCAATTCCTTACGGTTATCCCAAGTGTCCAAAGGTAGGGCGAACAATTTATATATTGTTAACAGTTCCACAACATATATAAAATTTATTTATATATGTAATATTTCCAAATATAGCAATATAAACTGATAAAGTGTGAATACTAGTATAGTAGTAATTAATTATTTCATAAACTGGTATTGACACAGAAAATATATTTGAAGTGTTCTTCTGCTGTGTACGTCTCTGCTTTAAGAAATAAAGAATGTGATCCACTCACATTCCCAAGCTCCGCCCACTAATTATGATAATGACTCTGATAATAGACAAGACGCTATGTTCATAAAAACACTTATTTGGAATAAGTGAATATTTGCAAATGCAACTCTACATAAATGTTTAATAGAGTGGCAGTGCGGCATTGAAAATAGCACCCCTGTGTAATCCAATAGGAAAAAACCCGGATTAAGTAGAAGTTGTACCATTGAGAGCTCTTCAAACGGGAGGTAACTAAACTGAACTAAGCTAAATGTTATCGCGTATTGGAGTATTGTATTTTTGCTCTCAAACATCAGAAGGTATATTTTTCCAGAACTTATTTATATGTGATGAATGGGAAATAGTAGATAATAAAGAGTATTGATAATGATCAACTCTTTTTGTATCAGTTTATACCTGTAATTCTTTCTCCTGGTTTCCTAGCAACAAGAAGACAGCAGTCATCACAGTATGGACCAAGGGAGGTGGCTTAGAGTATGACTTTAACTCAGATATGGTTCGCTGATCAAGGTTAAGAACATCTCGCTTCAGCACCTCTATACGTTGAAGCTAAAAAGGAAACATTTTTTGAACATGGTGGAGGAAATTCTTGGAAATTGCAAATAATAATGACCAGCTGCACCACTCAAATTCTTGCCCCCAAAATCCTCTTTCTTGGATATGTTTGAAGTGAGATGTCTAGACACATAATCACATCTAAATATTAATTCATATAAAATACAGATTTTCCAACTGACCTGTTTAAGGATGTGTTTGGCCATCTGTAGTTGTAAAGTTAGTTCCTTCATCTTGAGTTGCTCAGCTTTTGTCACCAGATTTTCCAAACTGTGGAGGTCCCTCATCTGCATTGCTATTGCCAACCCTACAAAATATATTCTTGATTAGCATAGACTTGATTAAACAAATATATTGTTTTTATTTACCAGTGTCATCTTTTTCTAATGCTTTTTGCAAAACATAGTAGAGGATCATCATGATAAAGCATGACATCTCATTTCTTCCCAGCCCTGAGATGCCATGATATAATGAGCTTGATTTGGCGATCCAGGAGACCCAAAATTGAGGATTTTTGAGATCTCTCATCCTAGCTCATATTTCATAAAATTGGGGTCATAAAACTTGTGTACATGTGCCTGTTCTAATATCTGCTGTTAAATACAATGCCTATTAATATTGTAATGTATTGACATTAAGGTAAATGATTACACGATAACTACATTTATTGACAGTTACAACTCTTCGCATCTGATGTGCTCAGATCACAGAATATGGCTTATAATATCAGAGCATGTTTCAGGTGAAACAGAAAGATGCTATGAGTATCAGAATGGTAGAGGATAGGGGTACTGTCATACTACATGATGTTTTTAGTTGTGCAATATGATGTTTTGTAGAAGTGTGGATATCCTTAAATTTTTTCACAGTTGATTCTTAATTGTTTGACCTTATAATCATATACAGCCTGATGTACAACTTTACTTCTTGAGCTTACCTCTACTGAGGTTGAAGAACTCCATAAGTTTCTTGGCTTTAGCAATCTCTCCTTTGTCAGGCACCCCATTATCTTGAAGTGCTTCAATGGCGTATTGTATGCTGTTGGGATCTTGTGTAGCAATGGCATCTTTCAGTTCAGCTCTCAGCTTTTTGTATAGTGCCTCTGAAAATATTTATTGACTAAAATGTAATTGGCTCAATTAAACTTTCAATTTTTAAATGTCATTCCAGTATATTCAATGAAAAGCATTAAACCTAAACTTCATAATTCTGTGAGTGATCATTTAGATGAAGTGTGTAGCTACAAGCTTTTTGTATTATGGTCTAAAAAAGTAGTGCAAAACTATGTAAAATGAAAGATAATGTTTATATTTATTACCCAATGCATACTGTTCTTCTATCCTTTTCCTTTCCTCTTCCTGCAACGCCTTTTCTGAAATAATAAAAATACCAGAAACAGCATACATATATACATATATTTATGGAGCAACTACAAGTGATAAGTTTCATCATGCAAACTTGTCAAATATTACATGTAACTAAAGAATGTAATGACTTATTGATCAGGAGAATATTACAACCACATTATTGTTTCTCAGAATTTTATCTTGACATGTTTGGCTTTCAATTTGTGGGGATGTTAATACCTTTTTCCTCATGCATCCTGTTATTTTCATCTGCTTTCTGATTTTCATCAGATTGGCTGACCGTTGTTCTTTCAGCTGGCTCATCTGTGGAGCTCTAAAATTGAAGGAATCTAATAAGTACATTATTAAGCAATTAAGCATCTTGACATTTAGAAATTGTAAGAATATGTTGTCGATTTATACTGTATAAGTAGTAACACTTACTGTGTTTTTGATCTTCACAACATAATATTTAGTGAAATTAAAATCACAGCACATTGTACTTTAATCCTCATACATGGGCATAACTTTGATCTACCTTAAGAGTCACAAACATAGAAAGGAAAATATTACTCACACTATCCTGGTCATCACTGTTAATCAACAATGGCTGTGCTTTCTTCCCATCATTTACATCAGTATCTTCAGTCTTTTGAACTCTATAGGAGGATATCATCTGTGCAGATTTACTCTCAGTCTCCTCAAATATGCTGATGTTATACTCTCCAACTTCATTGACTTTTATATGGAAGGTCTCCATGTTTTCTTTTTCAGTTTTTGTAACTTGATCATTTACAGGGCAGTCATTTGCTTTGGTCCTACGTACTTCCGCAAATGTGTTTCCAGTTGACTTTGGGATTTTTATTTCAACCTGTTCACCTTTAGTTCCAAAAGTCTTTTCTTCATTGGTTGTTTTTTTAATATCAGTTTTGGCAGATTCCTTATTATTACATACGATAAGGTACTGATATACTGCATGTATCTGATTTGGATCGTTGATGTTCTTTGCATATATTGTACAAGAGTATTCCCCTCCTGCCTCTAGATCAAGATCAAACATCACATTCTCTTTATCTTCTGAATAGTTGAGGTATTCCCTAACTATGTCACCCGGCATATGAGAGTGAGTTAGTCCAGCAAGGAAGTTTAATTGTTCATCTTTCTTAAACTTAAGACAGAGCTTGCCATCTTCGGTCATCACCAGTCCATCCTTGTGGTTCACTGGTGAAACATTCAGTAGCTCACCAATAAATGTTCTTCCTAGGAAACTGTTATTCATTTGAGGATATGGTTCGTTATCTACAGGGGCATCAGAATCTTCAGTGTTGCATTGTATCAGATAGTTGCAAATATGGTTAGCAACACCAGGTGCAAGATTTTCAGCATCTGTTTTATTAGCGTAAAGACTCAGTGAATATTCGCCTTGTTCTGGTAGTCTTATATTGTAAACGATGTCACCTGTTTCATGATCTATTCTACTCATTGTATAGTTCCTCAGCATTGCCTCTGTCAGATGGTTGCTTTTCAGTTGTTGTTCAGTTGTTACAGGATTTGTAGCCATAAATCTGATCTCAACGCTTCCATCTGGGTTGGTCGTGATATTACCATCCTTATGTGTTCTTGCAACCATTCCAACCTTCATTGGTTCTTCTCCTGGACCCCATCCAATCTTTTCTGGTAGCTCAGGAAGAGGCTCACATTTCTTCTTAGCTTTTGGACAGTTGATGATATATGAGCATACCAGGTCAAGCTCCTCATCACTATCTCTTTTCCCAAATATGTCAAACTTGAATTTCCCTTCTGTAGGGAATCTTATCATATACTTCAGGTCTGTCAAATTTCTTTGGTACATCACATATCTCTCAAGGTTTGATCTTGGGGGATTCCCAGTTCTTGTTTGGGCTTGAAAGAGTTTGTACTTATATGTTGCACTTTTTGCAATTGAAGTGGTTTGTTGGAAGTATATCTCTATTTCACCATTCATGGTTTCAATATTGACTGTTTCATAGCTCGGGGGCTTTATAGATAGTTCCATATCAAAGAATCTTTCTCTGATGTAAGCCTGTTTTTCAAATGTTTTAAAATCAATCTGTGTCTCTAGAAGTTGCCATTTTGGATCATCAGGGTAGTGTGTGTATATCATAGCTTCAGGATCGGTCAAATAATAAAACTCATTAACTCTGTGAGTAGCTTCACCTGCATCGTCATCATCACTATCATCATCATCACTATGATCACTTGTAGTGTTGGTTGCTCCTAGATAACCATCTACATCAAGTAGTTTCCAGTTTTTACTTTTTTTCCCGACAAGGCACGTGCATGCCCAGAATGCATCTATAAGTCTCCATTCACCATCCAGGAAGACAGCATTCCATTCGGCTAACATAGTCTCTCTGTTTATGGGTTCACCAATTTCATATGCAGCACTTTTATTTATACCTCGCACAAGAACACAATCAATTTTGGCATACCTGTAAAACAGTATAGAGATCAAATGTTACCATTTCATTGCAAAGCTCATGTTTCTATAAATCATACTGGGTACCTGTATATCAAAGGGATTAATAAGAACAATTAACAGTTTGGTTTGGTACAGTGTAGTGATATTGTTTTGAGGTTCTTGGGGTTTGTTTGATTGTTTTTGTTTATTCTGATGAATTGAAGGTTCAGTTTGATAAAAAACACATCAACCCATAGTACAATTGCTTCAATTACCTACCTACAAAATGCATGCAGTAAACGTGCATGGTTCCCCATTTGCCATTTGATCTTATACATATACATCAAAGGTGAACCTGAAGGTGGGAGGTCGTCAAGAGCCAATGAATCAACATCTACTGAAGTAATCCAGCGGAAGATTGCCCTTATTTGGTCCACCTGAGTTGTGCATCCTTCTATGAGATAAGCAACTGTGTCTGCAAAGTTCCGTGCTATGATGCCAATAGGAATCTGTGGGTGAAGAGTGCAAATGACATATCACAAAAAAATAAAGATTAGCTCCAATTCTAATTGCTCTGCTGGATGGAATTGGGCTGTTTTACATTTAATGGAAAACATAAATGCAAATAAAGCTTTTCCAAGTTTCTCAAATTGAGATCACCCTTTGAATCAAAATCATTCCAGACCTCATTCATGACACAGTCAGCTTGCTCTGCTGTATCATGGCTAAGGAATGGGGCTATATGTGCTGGCAAGCTTAAGTATATTCAGCTAAATGTGAATCCTCAAATGCTCACGATATATTGAGGTTTGGTTAGTACCCATGAAAGATGTTAAAAAAATGTGAACAATTTAATTTCTGTTACACCGCAACATATGCCCACTGATGTGTCTAATGGCATGATTTTATAGTGTATATTATATAAGAAATTATGAAAGAAATTGAATTGAATTGAATGTTCAACTTGATTGAAGAATAAATAACATAATATGGCTGTACTTACATCTTCTGCATGTTTATCTTTACTTTCATCAATCTTGAAAATTGCCTTCTTCTTTCTGGTTGGTGGAACTACTTCAGGTAATGTTGGTTGTTGCGACTGTTGAATCTGTTGTTGTGTGGGAGCCTTAGCAGGGTTATTTGCTGATTGTGACGTAGGTGCATTCACATGTTGTGATTGTGCTTGTTGTTGATTTGATTGTGGCATTTGCACATTCATATATTGTGATTGTGCTAGTTGTTGATTTGATTGTGGCATGAGTGCATTCATATATTGTGATTGTGCTTGCTGTTGATTTGATTGTGGGATGAGCGCATTCACAGGTTGCAAATGTGCTAGCTGTTGATTTGATTGTGGCACAAGAAAAACAACTGGTTGTGATTGTGCTTGTTGTTGGTTTGATTGTGGCATTGATTGTGCTACATATTGCTGTGTGTAATGATACACAGGTTGGTTATACATCTGGGGTACATGTGCAGATTGGTGTGCCATTATTTGGGGTACATGTGCAGATTGGTGTGCCATAATCTGGGGTACATGTGCAGATTGGTGTGCCATAATCTGGGTATGTTGTGGTTGGATGAGGACATTTGACATCTGTTGTCTCTGTTGCCCTTGCTGCACCTGTCGAGGTGCCACCTAAAATAACAGTTTCTAGTATAACACTTATTTAACCTTAACACACCAATTAAAAGTAATATATGATGTTGGATTGCTATTTTTCTAAATGTATAATAGAACTATGGTTTTTAGACTTACTTGTTTAGCCTGTCCTTTAGAGCTTCCACTCCCCATTTTAATGTAATATCAAGACCAGACTCTCAGTATAACAGGATATTATTTAGTTCTGAACTGCTGAGTGTAGATTAGTATTCCTAAGTACAAAAAATATATGTATATGGTATCTTTAAGTCTAATCAATAAAATCATACATTCCAGGTGTATTCTTTTATTCAGGTCTGTGTTTGTAAATCCACATTTAAACGGGACATTGAAAATGTTGTTTGTTAAGTCAAGTAAATGTCTTAGAAATGACATTTCACAAAATACTGTTTACTGTTACCAGGCAACTGAAAACATTTGACATCGAGAGTCATATTGAATAAACTATTAAAAAAGAGTGCATGGCATGCTATATTGTATGTATCCTAGGATTTGATATTTAGATGTTAATTGTGCAAAAAATGCTGGGCTTGAATTTCAATAAAGAAAACTTAAGAACAGAAGACCTAGAAAGATGTATATATAAGGGTAATACACTGTGAGGTTTTGTATACATGGTTTATCCCTAGGGAAATATATGTTTCTCCCGAGAGACAGCAGGGACCTTGCCTTTATCCATCCCAGTCCCACCGAACATTGGTGATAGCTCCCAAGATACACTTTATATTCCCTCTTATTATATACCTAAAACCTGAGTAGGTATGGAAAACACATGTGAACAATATTCGTTGCATCTTTTTCGTTTAACCATAGAAATGTATAAGTTGTGACTTATAGAGAGATGACATATATTTATTTCTTGATCACAAGAAAATGCGAATAATAGTCCTGAACACACAGCCAGGTGAATGGGCACTTGAGGGTGCATTTCTATATATTTACATGGGGTGAATGCACTGTCCAGTACAGTTTATGGTTTTACATTTTACAATAGTGTATAATATTATTTGCCATGTTTCGTCAAGTCTGTGTTAAAGACTAACAAGTATAAAGATAAGAAGTTTAGTTACCTTATTATGAATCACATCTTTCACGTAGGGCTTCTAACTTCATATCTTAATATTTTGATTAGTTCTTAATCTGTTCTTTTAGTTCTTGTGCAATGTAGTTGTTGAACATTCATGTCTCCTTTCCTTGATGTTTTTGCATAATCTCAGCTTGTTTAACGCACAATTTTTGTTCCTAATTGATTATTGAATTAAGAGTTGCTTTACAATTCAATATCATGTTCATTATTCTACTTCTGAGAACTCATTTTTAAGAGCATTTCTGTAGGTGAATCAATAATATATTGAATAGGTAGGATGGAAACCTAATACAGTGAATTCACCCCCAGACAATGTTTTTTATGTAAATATATTTCAAAGAGTGAAAACAAGACTTATATGCATAATAAGAAATAGGTTGGGTGCTTTATTGTGATCAGTTTGCCGGGGGAGGGGGGGAGGGGTGTTGGCCAGTTTGCCAGGGGAGGGGGGATGGCATGTGTCTTTTGAACATTGCATTCATTTTGTTTGTTGTTGATGATTTAAGCTCACATTCTAACCAATCATTTTGTCTATCTGGGTTGCCATGTGTTCATACATAACTTTGCTCCCACTTGAAAGCATCAATTTGCATGATATAGTACAGGTAGTAAAATGTCATAATGACTCCCACTTGTGATGTCAGGAAATCATATTTTGTAAAAGTATTGCAATGATTTGGTTTTTCATTTTTGGGGTAGTTTACAATTACAGGTTAGGTCATCAGCTTAACATTTTAGCAAGTAATTCTTGTAAAATTGGTAGAGAATGGTAGAAATGGTAAAAAAATGGTAGCCACTTTATAAGACGTGCAGTACCTCCTAATATAGCTAATATAGCATATTATATATAACAATGATTTCAACTTGAAATAAACAGTTATTGTGTTAATCACTGGTCAATTTCCTACTATAAATATATATTTCTGTTCTTTCAGGGCTTATACACAGCATAATGGGCTGTTTCGTTGATGTGATCTGCTGCAGGTTCCAACTTGGGTCATATAAACCTTCAGACTCAAAGTCTTCCAATGCTTCAGTACCAGTTCATAGTCTAAATAATATCAATACCAGTATAGAAACGCCACCTGTCACGTTGGTACAAACAGCTGTAGAGACACCTATTGGACAATTACAGAATCAGAATAATATAGAAACTATAGCACCACCATCGCCTACCTAGTAAAGAATTTCCCAACTTTAATTTTTATGTACAATCATCTGTTTATGGGATGCTCAAAGGTTTGAGGGAGTCCCCTGAATGTTGGGAGGGTGGGTAATTTTAGATGCATTATCGTCCCAGGGGATGGGACCTTGTGTAGTACTTTATCATGGGAGATTTTTGATTAAATTTGACCAGCTATTATTGCTGCCAGGGGGGAGGGGGGTATTGACTTATGGGTTGCTCCCAGGGTAGAAAATTTGAGAGCCCAATTTATTGTCAAAATCCCCGTCCTCCCAGCCAAGGGAATCTCTCACAAACCTTTGAATAGTGCATTAAACCCTTGAATGCAATAATAACACCTAAAAAATATGATCCTACTTGAGTATGTCATCATATCTAGTGACATATTGTTACAGCTACTGCTTTTTAACTGGCATTTGTAATCTGTAACAAATTGTTGCAATTTGGTAATTGTAACAACATGTTAAAATATGAACATACTTGAGACATATTGTTACAGCTTCTGCTTTTTAACTGGCAATTGTAATCTGTAACAAATTGTTACAATTTGGTAATTGTGTGGTGAACATGTAAAAATATGAACATATTTGAGTCTTATTATGTCACAAAGGAAAGGTAACATTTATTGATTTATAATATTTATTTATTGATTTATCTGATTTAATATTGAGGTTATTGAACATTTAAGACACAGAAATATCAAAAATTCATAGAATTTGAAAAGAAAAGGGACATCCATTTGTACATTTTTTGCAAGGTAACCATAAAAATGGCAGGGTTGTCCAAAAAATCAAAACTGCTGGAATTTTAGAAAATTGCCATGGACATGGACAGGAGCAAAATTAATGTGACACTTTTGTAAAAACCAAGTTGAATTTTTGGGAATATTTGATACAAATTACAAGTTTGTTTTCTTTAATTTCAAGTTTTGTGTTGATAGTCTCAATTATTCTTAGTAGTGTTCAAAGTATGAGATATTGCCACTTATATTTTATAGATCTGTGTCTGATGAGACATAAAACAGCAAACATTGTAAAACAATACCTCGCTTAAAACTGGCACTAATTTTAAACTCATCTAATACAACATACATGTACCAGAGGTTTCAGTAGTGAGGACCATTTGTTTAAGTGAGGCCCTGGCCCCATGTGTTAAAGTCAGACCTATGTGTTATAGGACCCATATGTTTTATTTGAATTCAAATATGCCAAGTGTTTCAGTGTATTTCATTCATAGACAGACCCTCAACTGAGAATCTTACAGTGTGTTGTGGTTTGTAGATAATGCCATTCTTGGTAAAGGGATGTAGTGTATTTTGGATTACCTATACAGCATTTAATCATAGTCTCCAACTTTCTGTGGATAGTGTTCAGCGGTCAGCATCTGTAACAAATGGCAGTTGGTGACATTTTGCATGTTAATGCCTTGTTCTACTTTGTTATTTCACCTATAAACCCTGGGCCTCATTACAAGAATTTCTGGTAAAATAATTATATTCATGAATATATGGTAATAGGTTTTTTCTAATAATTATTTTTGATTAAATATTAATGAATTTTGTGGACGTATTTTATAAGTATGGTACAAACAGTATAAAGTATTTTTATATCTGCTTCTTGTGATGGGATGTTTTGTTGATTAATGATAATGCTCAATTCTGTCCAACATAGGCAATTGTTTGTTGTATACGAATAGGAAATAAATCTAATATGAAAGCCTTTCAAATTTATTTGTGATTATTAGATTATAAGTATATAAAATAAATATATAAAAAAGAGTCTCATTCTAGTGTATTTATTAGAGGTTATGTCATCATTACGTGGAATATGCCTGAGTTCTCCCAATATAGGCCGACCTTGGTAGGCTCTATATTTGGGCAAGAATGAAGGCATATTTCATATCATAGTGACACAGCTGATGTATGGATTACACACCTTTAATCTGATGGCTACTTGGTATCAATGATGTCACACATCTGTTTACGAGTAGAATTTGATCGAAATGAAACATGACGTTGTAATATTGTCATGGTTATTAAAGAAATCTAATATCAAAATGAGGTCATGTTTCACTTCATCCAAATTTCACTCGCAAATAGACGTGTGACATCATTGATATAGTGTAGCCATGGAAATAAAGGTATGTAATACAACAATTATGTCCGTATCATTCAATATATGCCTTCAGCTCGTCGTCAATATAACCCTCGCAAGCTTGGGCTATATTGATGACAGACCTCAGGCATATTTAGAGGTTATGTCACTATGACGTGAAATATGCCTGAGTTCTCCCAATATAGGCCGACCTTGGGAGGCTCTATATTTGGGCAAGAACGAAGGCATATTTCACGTCATAGTGACATAACTGATGTATTACATGCCTTTGTTCCCATGGTTACTTTGTATCAATGACGTGACGTCATGATATTATCATGGTTATTTAAGAAATCTAATATCAAAACGAGGTAAGCGGGCTATATCGGGGTAATCGGGCAATATCGGTGGATATAGCTCGCTAACTTTCCCATTGACTTCCATACAAATACTTCGCTAGGTATGTAATACATTCAATTATAGGGACATAACTGCTAAATATAGCCCGCTAACTTTCCCATTGACTTCCATACAGTCATATTTCAATATTTTGATGCTAATATGATCTAAATTATACACAGGTTCATAGTTCTGTACAATACTTGTTGTAAAAGCTAAAAAAGAGATAGAGATCCTGGATCTTGATATTGCCTATATATAAAATATAATATATATAAAAGGTCTGTATATTTTCATTTACTGAATAAAATAAAATACTTGAATTCATAAGTTTTATTATTTCTTCATGATACAATTACATATTTGAAGGCATCTTACTCCTGTTCACTTGTTACTCTATGTATTTATTCATATTTACATGTATTTATATCATTATTTTTAATTTGGCACTTTTGGGTTCATTCTTATTCAATATGTCCGATTTTAGTATTATGGACACAACAAACACAAAACCAGGCTATAAATCTAAAACAATATTATATACTGACCAACAACAACAGACATCTTAGGCCCTATCGCAATATGTATTATAATTGTGGTGTCATACACTATTGTTCCTTAGGATTTTGGAAGATTCAATTGGAAAAATATTTCAAAGGACTATTCTCGGGTTGGAGAATGAAGTTCATCACTCTTAATATTGACCGTTACCCCTGCTTCGGACAATTTTTTTTTTTTTTAAATAACATTGATTTGAATGTCTTCTTTTGAACAGTCATAATTTAATTTGGTTGATATTTCTAGATTTTTCATAAAAAAATGATCAGCGCAGTACACTGATGAACTTCTTTCTCCAAATTGAGACTTGTATTTTATTGAACCATTCTACTGCACGTCACCCATGCTTTGGACAATTGTTACATTTTTTTACATCTTGTAGATTAAATGTCCTCTTTTGAATATTCATAATTTGATTTGGGTGATATTCTATATTTTTCATAAAAAAATTAGTAGCCCATAAGACTGTTCTCCAAACTGAGACTTATCCTTTGCTGTATTAAAGCAATCGCACATGATTGGTTCCAAAATTCAGGTTCCAACATGTAACTTTATGGCTCCATGTGATGAGGCTGTTTTTCATAAGCTATGCAAAGTGTCTCTAATTGAGATCACCGTTTCACACAACATCATTCTATGAATGATATTAGATGTACAAGTCTAGTTTATATCACTATATATCGGCTGTGCCAAAAAAGTGGTAAACTTTTTGACAAGTACTTTCTCAGCAATGGATGAATGCCCATGACACCCTATATATTGATGCAGTATATTTATGAATGGAGTTCTACTCCCTGTCTGAATTTTCCTGCCTTTGATTTCTCTCGGAGGAGTTGGGTGTTCTTCCTGAAGAACTTCTCTCCTTTATTTTTTTTAGATATTGGAGTCTTACTTATGTTTGTTATTTCCACCTTTCTTCTTGGTAGTTGTTGATTTGACAACTGGTTTTGCTTGTTGCTGGTTTGATTGTGGTATTGATTGTGCTGGTTGGTCGTACAACTGGGGCGCATGTGCAGATTGATGCGCCATTATTTGGGGCACATGTGCAGATTGATGCGCCATTATTTGGGGCACATGTGCAGATTGATGCGCCATTATTTGAGGCACATGTGCAGATTGATGTGCCATTATTTGGGGTACATGTGCAGATTGATGTGCCATAATGTTGGTATTTAGGGGTTGCATAAGAATATTTGACATCTGTTGTCTTTGTTTTCCTTCCTGCACTGGTTGAGCCACCTAAAATAACAATTTTTACTTTATAACACGAACTATAAAATTGTGAACCTTAAAGAGAAAATGAAATATTTAAAGGTTTTTATCATTGTGTCAAATAAATGGGGATTTAGGATTTAGTTAAATGAAGGTAACCGCAAATCAAAGTTGTTTAATGAAAAATTACATACAGAATTCAAATATGCTATCAAATAGAAGAAAAAGTTGATCTTGAATGGTTGAAAATGCAGATCTCCTAAAATCTTATTAAAAATGAGATTTCAGTGAAAAGTGAAATATGGTGCTACTACTACTGCTACTGAAAGCACAGTACTTTGGTACTTTGGTTTTTAGACTTACTTGTTTGGCAGGTCCTTTAGAGCTTCCAGTCTTTTTCATAATGTAATATCAAGACTTCAGCGAATGTGTCTGGGAATACACCTGTAAATGGAACTTTGACTGTATGAAAATGTTGTCTGTACAATAGTCAAGTAAATGACTTAATACAGTGTATATGTATTCTAGTTTTGTTAAGAGTATTTCAATGCATGAATCAATAATCCATTGAACAGACAGGATGGAAACCTTATAGAGGGTATTCACCTCAGTATTGATGGTGCATGTTTGTTTCCAATATTTGTGCAGAATTCTCACTGACCTGTCAGCACATACAAGAGTTCTTTTGTTTGTTTAGAATAAATATACACATAATTCCTTAAAATTGCACAGGCTTATCTGTTTGTAAGCATCAGTTAGCAGTATTATCTTGACCTTTGGGCATAAATTCCCTCAGATTTTCAAATGGAAACTACTTTAGTTGGAGAAATATCCAAATTTATTGTCAAAATAGGTGGTAGGTGCATGGTGCATTAAAACATTGGATGCAAGAATTTATAAAAAACAAAAAACAAACAACCAACTTGACTAACAATATGCTGTTACAGCTACTGCTTATTAACTGGCATTTGGAATCTGTAATAAATTGTTACACTTTGATGATCGCAACATGTAAAGATATGAACATATTTATTATGTCACAAAAGAATAGCAAAATATATTGAGCTATATTTATATTTAGCTATTTATTGAATTACCTGATTTAATAATGAAGTTATTGAATATATGAGATGCAGAAATATCAAAATTCATTTGAAAAGAAAATGATGTCCATGTTTCCAATTTTTTGCCAGACAACGATAAAAATGGCAGGATTTTCCAAAAAGTCAAAACTCCTGGAATTTTAGAAAAATTGGCATGACATGGAACGAGAGCAAAAATATTGTATTTTGACACCTTTTTGAGGTACATGTGTTATTGCACCTGTACGTTTTAAAATGAATTCAAATATGCCATTTTATTTTAAATGGGTTAGTCTTATTTTAATTTTTGATACAGAATGAGATGGTTCTTTTTACCTTTTTGGATATTACCATGGATGTAGTTTGCTTGTACTTGATACGACAACCTAAATTCTGATCAACAATATGTACAATATATATTATATTGATATGGCTCGATAATGGATTCCTTCAAATTCTGAGAGTAAATGAAGCTCTCTTTTACATAAGGAAAACAAAACTACTGGAATAGAAAGCGTATATATGAAAACCAAAACATAATTCAATAGACTAAATTATGCACAGACTCAAAATAATTATAGGGATTCAAAGTCCAAGACAATATTTGTTGTAAAAAGATTCTGGGTTTCAATACAGTCTGAAGGAGGTTAATTTACTGACCAACATAAATCCAAATAATTAAATTTGTAAGTTTTATTCTTTGTTCCTGATATAAATACATATTCATGACATCTAGGTCTATTCTCATGGTTTTGTATTTGTTATTTGAACATGACTGCATTCACACCTTCTATAAACTGTAAACAAAGTCAACATTTCACCCAGGGTATGTTCACGAACAATACCCCTGGTAATAAGTGTAATGTGTGACGTCATAATTGTATGTAATGCTTTTCTGAAGGTTAGACCCTTAACTCAATGGGAGTTTCCAGTTCAATGATGTAAGTCCATAGTTCTTTGATTTGGGCAAATAAAAAAATTAATGCACTGTGACTATAATATACATCCATGCAGTGTAATGCTCATCTGTACAGTTTACGAATATCAGGGTTCTTCATGTACTTTTATGGCTGCACGTAATTTAGCAGATCTGGCTCTTGGATTGAGTTGACATTCCCCCTCAGTTGGAACGACAACTTTCTTGTTAATTAAACTCCAATGTTTCTCTAGTAACTTCCCTATGTGATCTTTATCCATTACCAAACTAGGGTCTTTATATTTGTAGTGATCACTGAGCTTAGTATTAATTTTAGCATCAATATCTATGCCCATGAAATTCCGTTTAATAATCCGATCCTCCAAGGAATGGAAGGATATTGCGACACATTTCCCGCCAGGTTTAAGAAACTTGTGCGCCATCTTTAATGCAGTGTTCAGCTCATTCAGTTCATTGTTTACAAATATCCTGAGTGCTTGAAATGTTTTTGTGGCAAGATGAGCATTTCTTGAGAGTTTGTCTTTAGTGTGGTCACTGGAAGTAAATTTCATTTCATTAAAACATAATACAACCCCTATTAACTATATCAAACAGATGAAATCTTAACATAATCTTTTTCCATTAACCTATATTCATAATACACATTTAATGATATACAGGTATAATATAACATGCCTAATACCAGAACAACGGCAACGCCAAAGCGTAGCGAATCCCATCGAACAGAAATGGCTGGCATTTTTACAAACGAAATATATAGCAAATATCATAAAACAACACACCAGAAAGGCCACCATTTTCAAAATGGTTAGCCAAGTTGTCATCAGAAGAAATAATATGCTTTTAGTAGCCACCTATAAAATTTTTGAAAAATCGCACACATGTACTTGTGAAATAAGTAAAAAATGTAAAAATGACAGCCATTTTTTAAAATGGCCTCCTACTATCCGAAGTGTCATGAGACAGTGTGCAAGGCTCGTGAGTATTCACATATCAAATATGAACAAAATCGCTTCACTACTTTTCAAGTTATAGTAAAAACGTAAAAATGGTGGTCATTTTTCAAAATGGCCGCCTACTACCCAAAGTGTCATTAGACAGTGTGCCATGCTTATAGTATTCACATATAAAATATGAAACATACCAAATATGAACAAAATCGCTGAACTACTTTTCAAGTTATAGTAAAAACGTAAAAATGGTGGTCATTTTTCAAAATGGCCGCCTACTACCCAAAGTGTCATTAGACAGTGTGCCATGCTTATAGTATTCACATATAAAATATGAAACATACCAAATATGAACAAAATCGCTGAACTACTTTTCGAGTTATAGTAAAATACGTTAAAATGGCAGCCATTTTTCAAAATGGCCACCTTTTACCAAAGGTGTCATTAGACAATGTGACATGCTTATAGTATTCACATACCAAATATGAACAAAATTGCTTCACTACTTTTCGAGTTATTGTAAAATACATTAAAATGGCGGCCATTTTTCAAAATTTTTTCAAAATGGCTGCCTTCTACCAAAAGTGTCATAGGACAGTGTGCCATGCTTATAGTATTCACATACCAAATATGAACAAAATTGCTTCCCTACTTTTCGAGTTATAGTAAAATATGTTAAAATGGCGGCCATTTTTCAAAATGGCCGCCTTCTACCAAAAGTGTCATAGGACAGTGTGCCATGCTTATAGTATTCACATACCAAATATGAACAAAATCGCTCTACTACTTTTCGAGTTATAGTAAAATATGTTAAAATGGCGGCCATTTTTCAAAATTTTTTTCAAAATGGCTGCCTTCTACCAAAAGTGTCATAGGACAGTGTGCCATGCTTATAGTATCCACATACCAAATATGAACAAAATCGCTCCACTACTTTTCGAGTTATAGTAAAATATGTTAAAATGGCGGCCATTTTTCAAAAATTTTTTCAAAATGGCCACCTTCTACCAAAAGTGTCAAAGGACAGTGTGCCATGCTTATAGTATTCACATACCAAATATGAACAAAATCGCTCCACTACTTTTCGAGTAATAGTAAAAAAATATGTTAAAATGGCGGCCATTTTTCAAAATATTTTTCAAAATGGCCGCCTTCTACCAAAAGTGTCATAGGACAGTGTGCCATGCTTATAGTATTCACATACCAAATATGAACAAAATCGCTCCACTACTTTTCGAGTTACAGCAAAAATCGTAAAATAACGAGTAAAGGCCGCCATTTTTCAAGATGGCTGCCATGTGCTTTTTTTATATCTACATTTGTAGCTTTATTAATGTCCTTTATAATTTTTTTTACACTTAAAACATATTGCTATTACAGTTTTACATATTGTACCTAAATTACTGTAAAATCGGCACTAAAATGGCCGCCATTTTGAAATGAGCGTCCATTTTGAAAATCGGCTTTTGAGCAGAACTTCTACCCCCATAGAGTATATGTGTACAAAATATGAACAAAATCGGGCCAACGGTATTTGAGTTATTGCCCGGACGGACGGACGGAGGCGTTCCCTATATCCCTCCGAACTTTGTTCGATGGGATAATAATAGATATTCCACTCAATAGAGCAAGCCACAAAAATAGATGTTTGATCATTCAACTAATTGGAACAACCAGGAAAATTGTTTGAACAACCGTCAAGCTAGCATCAATCTGGCATTTCCCCAGTTGCTGCTGTTGGGTACTGTATAATAGTTCAAAACACATATTTTTCAGTTCACATGTTCAAATCCAGTGATATGATCCATACAGGGCTAAGACAGAGAGCCAGCAAGCTTTCAGCTTTTACAACCTTGTTTTTACTGTAGTAATGACTGTCCATTGGACTGCAGATAACATCAGTTCAAGTACCACATATTATGCAAAATTGTGAAATTTTATATATTAAATGTTTCTAATGATGTCATTTGCTTGCAAATCTCAAAGTTATCCCACTGGGCCCAATAAAAACTAGACAATACCAGTAAATACTGAAAAGTGGCCAAACCATTGGTACGAAGTCTATAGAAAGATGGCAGTAATTGTCTGTCTATTTCTATATTCTCTTCATAAATACAGTAGACAGAAAACAACTACTGAAAACTTGCTGTCAACCTAGTCCTTATAGTTCAAACCTTACCCTGAGAAAACACTGCCAATGATGGATGCCAGTTGCTTCGTTCTGGTAATTGGTCCAAATGAGTAGCGGTAGTCTATTATAGCCTGAGCAATGTCACGTGCCCGTTTCTCCTCCCCATATCGTTTGATGATTTTATAAAGGTTTGTTTCGTCTATATGGTTGACTACATCTGCCGCTGAGGGTTGTTCAGGGTCCCTGCAAAATAAAGAGCAAAACTATAGAGTTTTTTCAATATGATCTTCAATATTGTTGACAGATGGCAAAGTTTGGTAAATGTAAATTGAAACATTTAAAGCTAGACATGCAACAATCGCACATGATTGGACATAAATGGAGTTATAAAGTAAAATATTTTCAGCGAACATGAATGGACAAATCAAGACATTTCCAGCACATATATCTGTCGTTGTCTTGCCAGACATTGTCTGTCGTTGTCCAATCAATTTTGTCCGTTTGTGTCCAATGAATATGTTAATTCTTTGGACATCATCGGACAATGCAAGCTCATTTTATCATGTGACGATCATATGACAATTTTCTGACAAAATGGCACTGTACTCGACATCATCAGACAAAACAGGACAATGTCATGAATTGTCCAGCAGACATCAAAGGACAAAATGGACAAAGCCAATTGTAAGACAATTTGTAACAGATCCGGATCCCCACACCAAAAAATAATGTTGGCTATAACAACGTTCACCACTTCTTGGTGGTGATACAAAGTTCTGGTCTGCCATCTATTAATCTTGTTGCATATTACAACCAGTACAGTGAGATATTCTATGCTAATTCAAAGTGCGGTGTATTGCAATGCTAATTATCTTGACATAAAATATAATCCCAATTTTAATATATTCATTGCATTCCTACCTATTTCCATCCATTCTCATGTCAAGAGGTCCATCTTTACTAAGAGCAAACCCTCTTTCTGCTCTGTCGAACTGCATAGAGGAGACCCCTGCATCTAACAGCAAACCATCTATAGAACAAGGGTCATACCCATTGGATTTCAGCAGTTTATCTAAATCACTAAACTTCCCTAGCAGGGGTGTAATAGCACTGCTGGAAACACAAGAAATAACAAAATTAAAGTGGCAGCAAATTATGGAAGGTGTAAAATGTTGCCAGCAATCTTATAAAAACATTCAAATGTTTCCCTGACAGTCCCAAGTTAACAACTGAAAGAAGAACTGGAAATATGATAGTAAGCTATTGAAGACGACTAAGATGCAGAAATGTCCAAATTCAGCAGAAAGAGGACAGAACAGTTGAAAGTTTTTTGAGAAAAATAGGTGTGACATGACATGTTATGGGCAAAAAAGTAAAATTGTAACAAAGTTTAAAACATTCCTGTCAATTTTTCAATGTTTTTATTACCCCTTGAATCTGAACTGATCCTGTGATGATTCAACTCTGCTCAGATCACAGAACCATGCCTAAACGTCAACACACACATAAAAATACTGTCGTCAATACATTTCGACGTTTCCAACAGTTTTGAGAAATATTTTTGATTTTATCAATATTGAGTCAGTTCACCACCAAGCAGTTATTGTATTCTTTCCGTTATTGAGTTGCAAATATGTCGTCTACTCTTTATTAACATTATCATCTTCGCTATACATCAACCACTTAATATACCATAATCTATCTCTAGTTTTAGACTGAATTTTGCAAAATCCTCTCTAATTCATGTTTTGCTGTATAGATAACATTAAAGCAACAATAACATAGTTAGAGTATGGCAATATTTATTTAGAGTTTATGCAACACTGTTTTTCATTTGGACGTTATAACAACGTGACATGCAAGAAATGCAACCCACTCACATAATGTTGCACAAATTGAGCAAATTTTTTTTTATCATAACTTTATTTATGGAAATAAAGTTATGATAAAAAAAAACAAAAAAACATAATGTTGCACAACTCCATGAAGATTCCATGAAGCAACTTCACGAGAAGTTTCAGATGACTAGTTTAACAGATGCACCTTTATGAATGTTACAAGATGTGTCATCCATTCCTTTTGGTTTATATTTAAGGAATAAATAATGATAGGCCATTCAATATGGTGAAATTCAGCACGAGTTGGACAGAATGTTGTACAAAGCACGAACCGAAGGTGAGTGCATTTGTACTAACATTCTGTCCAACGAGTGCTGAATTTCACCATATTGAATGGCCTATCATTATTTATTCCGATTCAAACATAAAAATTAGTAAAAGCCGTGTCTGTGGAATGGGCATGAAGGAAGAATACGCATGCTGTCAAGATTCTGAAGTCGGCCGGAAAAATTTTAGAATTTGTTTGGGCTGTTCTATTTTACTCCCCATTTTAGATTTTATACGGTGTATGCAAACATGGGTCAGCCATAGTTAAATAGTTACAGTAGTTACGGAGGGAGTAAAAAAGAACAGCTATCCCCGGACAGAGCCCCAGATGTGCAGCTGAGATGTGACGTCACTCAAAACAATGCAAATTGCAGATTGAATAGAGCATGGTCGTGCATCTATGGAGAATTAGAGAACGTTCTATATTGGCTATGCTGCATTCTGATTGGTTGAGAAATTCGAATAGAGCACGGTCATGTTTGAATCATGTTTATAGTTAATAGCTTCAATATAGCCGTGCTAAATTAGCGCATGCACATTCTTTGGGTCAACCAAAATGCTGGAATTCATACAGAAGAGTCGAAGTGACCCAGCTTGCAAATATTCAAAGCTACTTAAGTCAGGGTCATGGCATCTTCCATTAACCGGATGAAGAAATTAATTCTGACATATATGCAAATGCATTTGATGGTCGTCTATCATTTTTGACTATGGACTTATTACTCTGATAAATCATACTTTTTCTTGAGGTTAATTCCCCTTTTATAAATAGGGTTTCATAAAGAGGGGAAACTCCCAGGTTTCAGAGAAGAATATTAACATAGAGATGACACATCGTTGCTGATTGGTCAAATGACGAAAACAAATTTTGTAAAAATAGGGAGTTTAAGCTTGCATATGAAATCGAAATGCCAACCTATACGTATGACCAATCGCCCATACAAATGCATTGCTTAAATATTTTCTGTTCACGTTGAAGTTGAATTTGGGAAGAATCAATATTCAAGATCATAAGTTCTAGATTTGTTCTGTTCAACTATTTTCTGAACTATGGTGCAAGAATAATTGTCCACAAAATACTCAAGAACTAGATGGCACTAACTTATTCATTGAATCTGTTAAGAATTAAAACTCAAGAATAAAGTTAAGAATAGTTCTTGATTAATTCTTAGATGCAAAGTGGCAAAACTCATGATACTATTCACTGAATTTGGTAAAAAATTTAAAATCAAGAAGTTCTAGATTTGTTCTATTGAACTATTTCTGGAACATTTTCTGAACTATGGTGCAAGAATAATTGTTCATAAATTACTCAAGAACATAAAAAATCAATGAATAAGTTCATGAATTAGTGTGCCATTTTGAACTTCAAGAACTATTCATGAACCTTCCTTTGAACAGATTGTGATCAGTTCTGCAACTGTGTTCAAGAATTATTCAAAGAATAGTTCAGCAACATTTCAAGAACAGTTCCTGACATTTTCACAGAGGATTCTTCATCCATCTCTTGTTGTTCAAACTCTTTCTTGCAGCAAGATAACCTAAATCTTTTTCTCAGTTTCCTATCCTTTGTGTTGACTTGCTCAGTTAATTTATCCAAGGCATCAGGTAACGAGAATGCTATTGAAACAGGTTGCTTCCATTTATTGTCCAATCTTGCAAATATCATCCAACAGTTTCGATAATGTTCTTGATCTTCTACCATTTCACATACTACAGTTCCACTATCTCCAGAGTGCGTAAAGTCAATGTCAGAATTTGCATTATCTGCACCGATAGCTACCATATTAGTTACCCATGCAGTCTTTTTCCCGACTTTGATTTCACCTGCTGCATCAAGGTTAACAATCTTGCCTCTTTGCTGTTTGGAGGATCCTAGCTTAACCACCACAGATCCAAGTAAATTTCTTTTTCTATAATCATCTGACCTGACCTTTGTTGTGCAACATTCAAAACAAGCATTGTATTGTACTAGGCCTATGTTTTCTCCCTGTTTATCCATCTCCTTTGTTCCGTTTTCATTTTGGGTATCCATCTTTTGGGAGGTATATTGGAACTGCTTATCAAGTTTAATGCAAGCAATGTCGTATTGTTGTTGTTCTTCTTCATCAATATTTTCACCATTCATTGTGTAATCATATATGCAATCCCCAAGCATTTGCTCATCAAATGCCATTTTGCTGGTATCAAAGTAAACAGCATCATTCCATTTACTAGTTTCACTGTCTTTATCATAATCTTCAGCACCATCCTCATCTTCATTGTTATCTTCATCATCACTCCTCCAGTCACTTGTTTCACTGTCCTTATCATCATCGTCTTCATCATCCTCATCTTCATTGTTATCTCCATAATCACTCCTCCAGTCGCTAGTTTTAATGTCCTTATCATCTTCATCATCATCTGCGTCTTCATTGTTATCTTCATCATCAGTCAAGTCACTAATTTCACTGTCCTTATCATCCTCTACATCATCCTCGTCTTCATTGTTATCTTCGTCATCACCCCTCATTCTCAAGGGTATTCTGTATGGAACCTCTGTACCAATCACATGTTTGTCACATTGATCTTTCTTGGACCAAGAAATGTATTCTACATTAGAGTTGTATTTATCAACCACATGGTTTGCTGTGAGAGCATATAGTTCATCTGGACTCTTATCTTTTGGGTCAACAAGAGCAACCAGTCCCCCAATAGTGCCATCTGGTTGTGTCACAAAAGTTTCATATATGCCTTTAACTGCAGTTTGACACTCTCTGTTATGTAGAGGTCTTCCTGTATAGCCTGACAATTGAATAGATTCATCCTTCGTCCAGGGGACAAAGTGGAAGTGGTACTCAGGCATCACTTTTTGTATGAACTCAGATGTCTTGTTGACACATCCATCAACTATATGTATGGAGTAGAGACCATCTTCTCCCATACCATAGAATTTCACAACAGGAATCCTGAAAGAATAAGTTTATATCACTAAATAGTTTACAATAGGGATTCTGAAAGTATACATTTATATCACCTCTGAAATCTCCAAGCACAACAATCCTGAAACTATAAAATTGTGTTACCTTTGGAATTTTAACTACAGGAACATAATAGCAAAAATAAAAAAGCAACAAAAGAACCCCCAATATTTCAGCTTATAATCCAAAATAAAACCTTCATGGATTATTCTTATATAACATTTTTATCAATTGATAAAAGTTGCATCTTTAAAGAAAAAGTAAATGAAGAACATCATTATACTCACCATTGCAGTATTTTTTGATGACGTGTTTCCATTTTTGCAAATGGCGCTCTATCCAAATGAAACCCTCTCCTCTTTTCTTTTCTGTATTCAGTTAGTTCTCTTTCAACTACATGACTGGCACATAGTTGTTTAAGGACAGCCATCACATCACACGTGTCACCAGAGTCCTCAAACAATAAGAAGGACTTTAATCCAGGGGGTAAATATCTACCACGAATAAGTGTTTCAACAATGTTTCTGTATGAACCATTTTTTGTCACTCTGGCTTGATACAAACACCACCTTGCCTGACACTTTAAACTAAGCTTCCATTTGACTTTTATTGCATTGAGATTTGATTTAGCAATATGGTGTTCATCATCAGCTGCGCAACTGTTCAGTTTCATGAGATGTTTATAATAATCATCATCTTCAGCACCTAGTCTTGTTAGGTGGCCATACACTTGTTGATGCCTATGGGTGAATGCCTGTATGAAATCCAGTGCTTTTTTGCCTGAATGGTCACTAGCATTGACATCTGCACCATAATCTGTCAACCACTGTATACATTCAAAATGGCCATAGCGACAGGCAAGCATCAATGCAGTCTCGCCATTATTGCCACAAGCACTGATATCTGCACCATGCTCTGTTAACCACTGTGTACATTGCAGAGAGCCAGAGTGACAAGCAAACATCAATGCTGTCCAACCATCAGTGTTTCTGGCATTGACATCTGAGCCATGCTCTGTTAACCATTGTAAACATTCTAAAGAGCCAGACTCAAAAGCTCTCAACGATGCAGTCCGACCAGAAGAGCTCATAGCACTGACATCTGCAACATGCTCTGTTAACCAATGTATACATTCCAGGCGCGTAAATTTACAGGCATACATCAATGACGTCTCACCCTTTGAGTTTCTAGCATTGACATCTGCACCCTTCTCTGTTAACCACTGTGCACATTCCAGAGAGCCAGACTCACAAGCTCTCAACAATGCAGTTTCGCCATACCTGTTCCGAACATTTACATCTGAGCCATGCTCTGTTAACCATTGTGTACATTCCAGAGACCCATGGTAAGCAGCCACTATCAATGCAGTTGAATTGGTACAGTTCGTTGCATTTACATCTGCACCATTCTCTGTTAACCACTGTGTACATTCAAGAGAGCCAGAGCAACAAGAGTACATTAATGCAGTAAAATCATTATAATTGTCTCTAGCATTTATATCTGCACCATGCTCTGTTAATAACTGAGTATGTTCAAGAGAGCCAAACTTACAAGCCAACATCAATGCAGTCTTCCCGTACCTCTTTGAGGCATTTACATCTGCACCATGCTCTATTAACCACTGTGCACATTTCAGAGAACCAGAGTGATAAGCATACATCAATGCATTTACACAAAAGCTATCAATGGCATTCACATCTGCACCAAAATCAGTTAACCACTGCGTACATTCCAGAGAGCCAGAGCGACAGGCCAGCATCAATGCAGTCAAACCAGCACTGCTTCTAGCATTGATATTTGCATCATGTTCTATTAACCACTGTGTACATTTCAGAGAGCCATAAGTACAAGCCCACATCAATGCGGTCTCAACATTATTGTCATTGGCATTGATATCTACATCATGCTCTGTTAACCACTGTGCACATTCCAGAGAGCCATTACAACAAGCATATATCAATGCAGTCCAACCATCATTGCCAGACGCATTGATAGTTGCACCATGCTCTGTTAACCACTGTGCACATTCCAGAGAGCCATAGCAACGAGCATACATCAATGCAGTCCAACAAGAATTATCCCTAGCATTGACATCTGCACCATGTTCTGTTAACCACTGTGCATATTCCAGAGAGCCACTTCGACAAGCGTGTATCAATGCAGTCATACCATAGTTGTCCCTAGCATTGATATCTGCACCCTTTTTTAGCAATAGGTCCAAGGTTTCTTTACTCAATTTGTTTTTAATTCTAACAAGGGATAACAAAAGTGTGTCTTTATGACATTTGTGTGTCCTTTGGAGTATCAGCTTCAGCTGGTGATCATCTTTCCTTTCAAGTGCATCTTTAATTTCGCTATAATCAGCCATTTTGAATTTCTCTAAATATGCCATCAGTTCAGGTACTTAACATTCTACATTTCATACTGCAGTTTAAAAGTTCTACTTGAACAATATTCATCAGTTGTTATTCACTATCTACTCTATTTAAAATGAAAATTAATTTTGGGTTTTCTAAAATAAAGCAATAAAAAATATTTGAAAAGCAAGGTTTTGGATGGGACGGAAAATACTGCTAAAGAGATATTTAAACTGTGAGGTCTTATTGACCTCCACAATAAAAAATCTCAAAAGGCTTTTTGAAATTGTTTTTTTTCATATGTAAATTTCTTTTAAGTTTTGTTTGCTTGCATGTCAACCAGTCCTGTTCAGTACACTATGTGTTTGTGTAGGTTTTGAACAGTTATAGTATATACGAGAGTTGTCCCAGAAGTAATGCACTATATGCTCTCACTTTCTTTAATATTCTTCAATTCAGCTAAAATTTTGCGTATATTACGATTGAAGTTTATCTGGTATGTCCAGAAGTTTCAGCATCATACATTTATGTTAAGTCTTAAAATGGTTGCTATAGCAACATGGGGGGTAGGGGTGGGTGCGGCAGGTACCAATTTTTCTAATCATGAAAAGCTCTTTAGTGTTATTCTATTAATATTTCTTTCTTTTAAATGACCAAAATGTTTGGGAAATTGTTAAATTTATTCAGCATGATGTTTACCAAGTACAAATAATGACATTTAGCCCCATGATGTCATGATGCCACAGTTCAATAGTCACAAATTTAAATCCAGTCACAGTCAAGAAATTGCAAAAATGGCTGCAATTCTCAAACCTGATAACAGAAAGCCTTGCGTTTGGTGGCCCATTTTCATACTTCTCCTGGACTCACAGCCACACAAACTTATGCTACAATGAAGAAAGTATAAAGGGAGTATACACCAGATAAAACTACAATTATGAGGGGGCAGAAAACCTCAAGAGAAATATAAGATTTAAAAGTGATGACTGGAAAATGGATGACAACTGCAAAAATGAGAGGCGAAAATTCCATAAGTGTCGGTGAAAAAATTGCAAAGAGTGTTCGTCCTGACAGGCATCAAAAGTGCATAACCAGCAAAAGCCAATATTTTAAGAAAATGTGAAATGGGACACTGAGCAATGTACATCCATGAGATCTAGGATGTGCTCCTAGTAATTTAGTGTCTTAAAATGTATTTTTGAGCATACTTCTTACAGCTACACAAAATGGTATTTGTTGATTAATTATTTCATATTTTCACCCCACCCAACCTTAACTCACCAACTTGATATCATTATAACATCAAAATAGTATTATCAATCAAAATGAAAATTCACTGAAACACTGAAACATTCACTGAAAATTTCATGGAAAAATATCAAGTATTAAGTAAGAGCATAGAGAGGATTACATCTGGGACAACCCTCGTATAGAGGTCAATAAATGGGAGGGAGGAAATATAAATTTTATTCCAAGGAAAAATATGATATTGACCAAAGGTGAATTACAGTTTTCAACTACTATTCCGATGTAACAGTTGGTTTTTGGGACTGATCATTCTTTACTGTGTCTTATATTACATGATTTATCTGTATATGTTGAATTATTAAATCATTATTTTGAAGTAAAAACAGCATATGACTTTTAAACTGTTTCGTAATTCCTTTTCTTAAGAGTAGTTTGTACTCATTAACAAGCAGATAAGTGATAACATCATTACATGCCAATTCTCCTACTTGTACTCTACCTGCTCTTTTTACATTACAATAATTAATCACATAATAAATCTTGTGTGCCTGGTATACTTATACTCTATCTTGACTGATTGATTGGATTTATCACAGAATTTGTGAGATGGCACTTAGGACTTTACCCCCTTAGATCTTACAAAAACACAGCCCTATCTGCTATTTCATTCATGAGTTGGATCAGCGATGGCATCTAAATCTGATATTCTACTGAAAGAGTGCTCTGACCAATTGACTTGCCCGATATGTCTGGAAACTCTTAACACACCCAAAACCTTAGAATGCCAGCATGTGTTCTGTATGGGATGCCTGGATAAATGGATCAATGAGAATAAAGCTAAAAGAGAAGACCAACAACCCGAATGCTACCCATGCCCAGTTTGCAAAGTTGATTACAACGTCCCAAAGAATGGCTCAAAATCGTATAAAACAAACTTCCTGCTTAGCTCACTTATTGATGTCCTTCAGAGAGTGGAGAAACTGAAGACAGATGAACCAATATACTGTGATGTCTGCCTAGAAGATGGGGAAAAGTCAACTGTGATATGTCGCTGTATTGAGTGTGCCGAGAACCTTTGCCAAACTTGTTCCACAGTACATAAGAGGTCAAAACTGAGTCGCAGCCATGAACTATTGGAGGTTGCTGGGGAGGATGGTGGGAAATCTGAAGCTATGCTAGCTTCTTTGAAAAAGAGCCAGATGTTGTGTAAGGCACACCCTGGGGAGGCCCTCAAGTTCTATTGTCAACAAGACAAGGTTGTTGTTTGCCGTGACTGTTGCATCACAAAGCATTCCAATCACACCTGCGTCGCTTTAACAGAGATCACAGAAAAACATGTGGAAAACTTAAACACTTTAATGACATTTGCAAAAAATAAAATAAATAAATATGACGAGAGTAAAAACAGAATAGACGAGTTTAAAATGAAAGCAAATGAGGGAGCCAAAAAAGAAATTGATGAGTTGAAAAAGGACAGAGATATGAGGTTAAAGCAAGTTAGTGATTACTTTGATGGACTGGACAAAGAATTGAAGGCATCACATGAAGAAATCATGAAACACCTACAAGATCAACAGAATCAACTAGAGATTGACAAGGGAGTCTCAGAAGGTACACTGGCCAACCTCAGCACTATGATACAACATGGGCACCCTGTAGAAATTGCCAATTCTAATCCAGATATCATGGATAGAATTCAAAAGTGGAGCCACACAACTAAAGTAAAACCCAAGCCAGAGCATAAAATATACCGATCTGGCACTTTGGACGTCAAAACCCTGGGAAAAGTTGGGTACTCTATACAGGTATGTGCATTTCTGGAATGTTATGTTTTTTAATGATTTACCAATCTCATTCATTATTGTCACTATTTGCTACATTAGTGCATCATCTCCCTGTTCATCACTTCTAACTTAATGGTAAAATCTGTTGGCCTGATCCTGATCACAATTATTTTTAGCTCAAAGCAGAAGAGATTCAAGAGAGGCGTCAATTGGAAATGCAAACAAAGCGTGAAGATTGTATGTATGTATTATTTGTGTCTATAAAATGACAGCTTCATGTATTACAATTATATAAAATAGAAATATAAAGCAAAATAAAGGAAATTTTCACAATTCGAATAATGATAAAAAATACTATACTCCCAGTTATTTTCGCACGCTGCTATATTTCATGCTTTTCGCAAATTTTGGAAAAATCAAGAGAGGCGTCAATTTATAGTCGCGAAATTTCAAAAAACTGAAAATTAGCTAAATATAATAACCGCAGTTTTCTCTCTATATGATTGAACGTGGAAGGTAGCCACCTACTATAATTACAATCTATGTATCAAGGCATTTTAATATCAAGACAGGTATTCTTATTTGGAAACACTATGCTACTCAAGAAAACCATTGTCTTATTGCAAAGCCATCCAAGCTGCAAATAGTCAATCTTAGTATTCTTCCAATTTCATGAAATGATGTTTCTTTTTCAAAACATTTCAAATCTTTCGAGTAAGTTAGACATTTTCAGAAGTTTCTATGTGGCACTACAGGTTGCCAATGCATGAAAAAATAAAAGTTTATTTAAATATGATCATGCCCTATTCAAACCTCTCATCCGATCAAATTGGGGCACAGTCATTCTCTTATGCATAACAGATGAATGACCATTCATTATGCAATCTGCACTGAGGAATGTGCATTATTGTATAAGTTGTACATGCATTTAATCCGAGTGGTTATTTTGCCCAATTTCTAATTTTCCTAACAAAGATAAGATTTCCTACATTTCATTTTTGAATCTGGCAAAAAGTAGGCAATAGGCAAATTAATTGATTAGGCAAAATTACCACTTGAACAGTATAATCATATTGTGGCATAACATCGGGGCTTTGACTGTCTAAGGTTGGCAAGTGACAAATTTTGACTCAAGAATATCAAATTGATTCTTTCATTTGTCTTGACCATATTCTTTGAAAAATGTTTTTCTTAATTTCTATGTTTGAATCAGAATTAATAATGATAGGCCATTCAATTAATATGTTTATTTTTCTACAATTTTAAATATTGGTATGTGAACTTATTGACTTTTACTTTACTTCCAGAATTCTATGAAGTGCTCCAGCATAATGCTAATTATGTAAGCTGAATTACACCACAAAGCCTTAGCTTAAAGTGTGCGCCTGACCCGGCTACGTATAGCACAGAGTTTATACTGGCGGATTAGACCAGTTCATTTTTTATATGTGTGTGAAAGCTCTCTCTTATTTGCGTTTTTTCGTTTAGTACGGTTTTGTTATAATTGCCGAGGTCATATCACCGGGATGAAACAATGATTATCGTTGACTGCCCACACACAAAACATACGTTGAGTGAACAGTGTTATTACAAACAACAGGCTTTAGAATACAAAGCCCAGTAGTGTGATAATAAGCTGTACACTACCACTGCTGCATGTACATATAAGTAGGGCTCCCAAAGAGTGGATAGGGATGTTGTGTTTGTCACTTTTAAATTTTACATTTCAAAATTGTCATTTTACATGTCATAATTTGTTGGTTTCATTCGTTTAGCCAATCAAAACATTGTAAAACAATAAATTGTCTGTTACGTACAATCAATTTTGTTCAGTTTTGATTAGGTGTCAGAATAAAGTTACGTTCATCTGAATCCATGTATCAAAACAAAAATCTTATTTTCACTTCAAAATACTTCAGTGAGATGAATGCTCGGAATTGTCACATGCAATAACTTATTGTCGTATTCGTTATTTTATCTTCTCGATAGTAGCATTTAGTCGCACATTTGATGCCAGGTCACCTTGTCGCGTACCTCTTGGGGAGCCCCACATTTATGTGTGTACTCATGGAAGTAAATTCCCCGGTGTAGCCGAGAGCCACAAACTTTTCAACAGCTTCGAAATGGCCAATTTCTCTCATATATACTCTAAATATTTTATTACTTAGCACCTACAAAGTATTGCTAATAACCATATGTAATTTCAATAAGGAAACTTATCTGGCTACATGTAAATTCAATATCAACACTAGCTGTTCTCTCAACACGTCCTGGCTTACCTTGTGGTGACAAACCCTGGATTTTCGCTATTTATAGTTTATCAACACCTGGACGCATGCGCATTTTATAGTTTATCGGGCACTTTAATGAATAAAAGTACAAATGACTATAATATAATAATATATAATATGAATGTAATACACTGTATATATATACCTGGTATTATATACTGTAAAACACATATTATTCCCGTGCATTTAATTTTCGCAATATTCGCGAGGGGCGAGGGGGGCCAATAATGCTATGTAGCCTCGGACCCTCACAATCTACGTAAATAATTATGTTGAATTATATAGAAATAAATAACAATAACCTATAAAAAAAAATTCCACTCGCGAAAATAATGTGTAAGTGAAAATTAAATGAATTACAGTTGAAAGAAGTTAACCTAAGATTGCCGATTAACCGGAAGTGATCATATAGATGTAGTTGTAGGTCAATTGTATCAAGGTGTAATGTAATTATACTCATAGTACATGTAGTTCTTATGTGAAGCAAAGCAGAGTATAGCGAGTCATTTTATGTAGTAGATGTTAGTGTTGTCACGATTAATCGATACATCGCGATATACATCACCAAAGCTGATTCTGGCGATGCATCGATGTCTGAAACAAAACATCAATCTTTTTAAAAAAAATTAATTTGCTAAAAATCACCCTTTCTTATCTTATTTTGACGCAAATCGTTTACCTTTCTCATGTCTTATTTCATTTTCCAATGTTTTCTGATATTCTTTCACTTAAAAACTGTTTTAGCTAGTGGGCTTGAGCAAGCTATTGGTAGCACTTTTAGTCCCATAGAAGTAGATTTTCAAACTTGCTAGAAGAAAACATTTTCCTGAATCATAATTTTACTTAATGTCTTACCTTTCATTTTTTATTGACCCAGAGATAACTTTTGCATCGATATTGAAAAAAATCAGGATGATATTATAAGCCCCAATTTTGGCTCTTCGGAAAGGACACACACATAATTTCAATTATAAAGGGTATATATAAGTTTCAATATATGTTCCACATTTTTTGTTTTAAAGCATGCAGATATATGGTTCTAAATAACTAATAGTTTTTATCTGAATCATTATCATAGAAATGAATTAGGAAGACCAATCTCGTCACTTGGCCCGTGATTTCGGCAAAAAAGTTCAATCATTTTTCCAATTACGATAATACTTAATAATGTTGAATATCCTGTTGATTTTTCCTTCTGTCTGAATCATTACAAAGTCCTTAATAATGTTTGATTATATATGAGACAATCATGATAGTATATATGTGTACCATATGACGAAACTACACTTGTCCAAAGCTCTTCGGAAAGGACATTTTTTTAGTGTATTGCTAAATACTGTTTAACAGATTGAATTTGAGGGAGCAATTTTCGGAGATTGTACATTTGTTTCTATTCATGTATTCATGTTTTCGAGATTTACCACTGATTACATTATTAACTGTGATTTTTTCATAGGTAATATATGGGCGATAATAGGGCAAAACATCATTAAAGTCATCACTTTAAGGCTATCATGAATGTGCTTGTAGTTTTTTAGTTGCTGGGCTGGGGACATGTAGGCCTATGAAACAGCATTATGCATAGAAACGACTCAATTGTTGGTGGTAATTGTCAGTGAATTGAACCTATTATCACAGGAAAAATAGTGATGAAGATACAATTTTATATTTGCGGCATTCTTCATTTGCAATTTTACACTTGAGTGTTTTAAAGGGTTTTACAGTACTGTTCAAATCATGATTCAATGTAATATTTGTAAACATTGTGCTAATGCCTTTATACATCAGTAGAAAAGTTAGTTATAGACATCCAATACAGCATTCCCAATCAGAGCCTGAATTGCTCTTCGGAAAGGACACATTTACTTTTGTAGTTCCTGTTTAAGTCTTAGTTACTACAGTAAAGATATTTTATGTATAAAAGTCCATCAGAAAATATATTCCATTGTGTTTCTCTTCAATATTGTTGGTAAATGCACTGTTTTGACAGAGTTTGTCTTTTCCGAAGAGCTCTTCGGAAAGGACTTTTTTCTTGTGTCGGAATTTTAAAATTGATTTTACAGGTATATATGACAGTTCAAAGCTATTTATTTGTTTTGAATATTCAAGAAACTAAATGCATTTTGTTTTAAAATAGTTTTTAGGGTATCATATTACTTCAGTCTTAAAATACACATGCTCTTCGGAAAAGACATTTGCGTGTCGGAAAATCAGTTAGTTATTTTGAGAGCCAATATCTCAGGAACCCCTACAGCCTTTTCTATAATTTTTTTAATGACAGAATTTTAACATTCGTACTTTTGATATCATCTTAAAAAAAACTGTTAGCAAAGATTGGAAAATATGTTGAAAAATTCAGTCTTTTTTAACATAAAATTTACAATGAAATGTTACACCAACGGTTGTGTGCTACAAGCGGTTATAAAAACTCTATACACTATTATGGACACACTTGTTGCATATCATTTTAAAGCAAATTCCTTAATCTTTCCAATGCAGCCAAATTACTTTAACTTACTCTATTCAAATCCATGTTTGAAGTATATATGTAAATGTGGATTTTTTCTTGGGAATTTGTTACATAGAGAATAAGGCATATTTTGATACATGAAAATTTATAAAAAAATTATCATTCATGTTTCAAAAAAATGATATCTTCCTCAGACATATAGTGGGTATACCTAATTAATAAGACTGATTTCCCATCTGTATCTTAAGCCTTGCATTTTTTCTGGGTGCCAATATGAAAGTGCTACCAATAGCTTGCTCAAGCCCTAGTCGAAATGAACCATTAATCTAATGAAGGACCCACAGTCCTGTGCTCACACAGTTTGGAACCTTCAGAGGAATTTATATCCTGACTTTCAAACAAAAATATTGATTTGGATTTGTAGTCTCGAACTTTGAGAAACTTAGATAGCATAGTTGCGTGACCTAGTTTGATGACCTTGAAAATTTTACTTATTCAGAGCTCAGTAAGGTCTTTTGTGATTAAGCTGACCAAAATTTGCATCCCAAAATTTGAAATTTTTTTTGACCTTTCGAAGGTCACTGAAGGTCAAGTAAAGGTCAAATCCTAAAACTAATGTCAGATTTGAACTCCTGGCAACTTGTAGATGATTTTCAAAAAAGAATTTGGTCAAATTGAAGCAATAAATACAAGTTGAAAAATAACTTATTTTTTACTGTTTTTTGACGTCAAATATCTCAAAAACAGATGCTGACATATATTGAGAAATATGTAGGGAATGCTTAAATCTATTAATGATGAGCTCCATAAACGTACCTCCGCATCCAATATTTAGAGGGGGCTCATATCTGAAGAACATTTCCGAATTTTTATAAAATAACACAGATACTGCCTGGCTTCCAAGATGCAAAAATAATTTGCATGGGTAATGTATCTTGAACACCATTTTTTATGAATGCTGGGGACGCAGTATTGAAAGGATAGTCTCAAAATATATAGGTCTGGGAAATGTTTAAGGCATACTGCGTCGCTATAAAATGAATTGCACTACTATTTTCACAATTTTATTGATATTTGGTGTCAAATACACATATCTTGGTATATTTGAAGTCCCAAAATGGCTTAGTTTCAGAAATATCCCAATTTTAAATTCAAAAATGACCGTTAGCTCCGCACCCTCCGCTCATTTGCGCCGCACCCAATATTTCCCACAGGCTCTGTCTGCATAGGGTGTGTAATTTATTGCAGGAAATGATCAAGTATAAGGCAAACTTTAAGAATCTTGTCAATCACAAAACCTGCCATTGACTTTATACATAAGAAAGTTTCCTGAAAATGACCAAGTCCTACTTTTTTTCACATTTTATAGAGTAAATACCAAAAACCGTAATTCGCAGAGCTTTGTAATCTTCAGAAGACATAAGTTGCATATACACCAACAACTAAAAGTTATTTGAAAGTTCTACTTCAACAAAGTGTCTAGTATTTACAGAAAATTTGACTTTTTGACGTCAAAATCCGCAATTTCTCAGAAACTGGGCCAAAAAAATTTACTTAACGTACTCTCATTAATTTGTTCTGTTCGGTATTTTAGTGCATTAGCGTTCGGCATTTCAGTGCACTTTTCTCAGACTTTTTCTCGATGTACATCGCGATGTGCATCGATGTTTACTACTGAAAATTGCCGATGCATCGATGTACGATTATGGCACATCGCGACAACACTAGTAGATGTAATTAGATAGGCTGGAATGGGCATTACAACTGTACACATACATGTATGTCTACTAGTGTTGTCGCGATGTGCCATAATCGTACATTGATGCATCGGCAATTTTCAGTAGTAAACATCGATGCACATCGCGATGTACATCGAGAAAAAGTCCGAGAAAAGTGCACTGAAATACCGAACGCTAATGCACTAAAATACAGAACGCTGGTTCATCCGGGAACTTCTAGTAACGGTGAAATGAAAATAAAGTAATTTTTTTAGATTATTGTTCATTTCTACTAGCTAAAACAGTTTTAAAGCGAAATAATATCAGAAAACATTGGGAAATGAAATAAGACATGAGAAAGTTAAGCGATTTGCGTCAAAATAAGATAAGAAAGGGTGATTTTTAGCAAATGATAAAAAACATCGATGTTTTGTTTCAGACATCGATGCATCGCCAGAATCAGCTTTGGCGATGTATATCGCGATGTATCGATTAATCGCGACAACACTAATGTCTACTCACGAAAATTCAGTCAGTCTGCCTCTTATGTTTATTAGGAGGCCCTCCTGAAAGGGCCTCCTATAGCTTTTGTAGCTTTTCTTTATTATTATTCTTTATTCTTTATTCTTTATTTATTATTCTTCCTAAGCATTTTTCTCCTACTTCCAACTAGCTTTCAACTACTTACTATATGCTCCTACTAGACACCTGGGCTGGAATAGGGGGGAAAATATTTTTTATCTAGGTCAAGGTCAAAGGTCAAAATCTAGGTCAAATCTAAGTTTTTTTTCAAGTTTCTCAAGTTTGTCATTATACTTCATTATTTCTTGCGATGAATTAAACTGAAACTACATTTGAGTATTCTCTACAAATTGTTCACTATATGTCAGCATTAAATTTTTACCGTTTTTGAGATATTTGACGTCAAAAAACGGTCAAAAAAAGGTCATTTTTCAACTTGCTTCAATCTGACCAAATTTTTTTTTAAAAATCATCTACAAGTTCCCAGGAGTCCGAATCTGACCTCAGATTTGACCTCTGACCTTTAGTTGACCTTCAGTGACCTTCGAAAGGTCAGAAAAGTTGATTTTTCAAATTGAGTCTTTGGATTCAAATTTAAGTCAGTCTAATTACAAAAAGCCTACTGAGGTCTAAAAAAGTAAAAATTTCAAGGTCAAAGGTCAAGGTCATCAAATTAGGTCACAAACTGTGCTATCTAAGTTTGTCATAGTTTAAGACTACAAATCAATATTTTTAATTGAAAGTCAAGATGTACATTCCTCTGAGGGTTCTACACATATTAGTCATTGACTATTTATTAAAATATTGTCCCAGTTTTGAGATATAAGAGCTCAAAAACTGAAAAAGGTCAACTTTTTAAAGTTTATAAGGTCAAATTTTAACTTGCTTCAAATTCACCCAACTTTTTTAAAAAAATTATCTACAACATCTCAGGAGTTCATATTTAACCTCAGATTTGACATTTGACCTTTAGTTGACCTTCAGTGACCTTCGAAATATCAGAAAAGTTGATTTTTCAAATTGAGTTTTTGGATTCAAATTTAGGGTAAGCCTAATCATAAAAAACCCACTGAGCTCTAAAACAGTAAAATTTTCAAGGTCAAGGGTCACGGTTATCAAATTAGGTCAAAGGTCAAAATCTAGGTCAAATCTAAATTTTTTCAAGTTTCTCAAGTTTGTCCTTATACTTCATTATTTCTTGGGATGAATTAAACTGAAACTACATTTAAGTATTCTCTACAAATTGTTCACTATATGTCAGCATTAAATTTGACCTTTAGTTGACCTTCAGTGACCCTCGAAAGGTCAGAAAAATTGATTTTTCAAATTGAGTCTTTGGATTCAAATTTAAGTCAGTCTAATTACAAAAAGCCTACTGAGGTCTAAAAAAGTAAAAATTTTAAGGTCAAAGGTCAAGGTCATCAAATTAGGTCACAAACTGTGCTATCTAAGTTTGTCATAGTTCAAGACTACAAATCAATATTTTTAATTGAAAGTCAAGATGTACATTCCTCTGAGGGTTCTACACATATTAGTCATTGACTATTTATTAAAATTTTGTCCCAGTTTTGAAATATAAGAGCTCAAAAACTGAAAAAGGTCAACTTTTTAAAGTTTATAAGGTCAAATTTTAACTTGCTTCAAATTCACCCACCTTTTTATTAAAAAGTATCTACTACATCTCAGGAGTTCATATTTAACCTCAGATTTGACATTTGACCTTTAGTTGACCTTCAGTGACCTTCGAAATATCAGAAAAGTTGATTTTTCAAATTGAGTTTTTGGATTCAAATTTAGGGTAAGCCTGATCATAAAAGACCCACTGAGCTCTAAAAAAGTAAAATTTTCAAGGTCAAGGGTCATGGTTATCAAATTAGGTCAAAAGTCAAAATCTAGGTCAAATCTAAGCTTTTTTTCAAGTTTCTCAACTTTGTCCTTATACTTCATTATTTCTTGCGATGAATTAAACTGAAACTACATTTAAGTATTCTCTACAAATTGTTCACTATATGTCAGCATTAAATTTTTACCGTTTTTGAGATATTTGACGTAAAAAAAACGGTCAAAAAAGGTCATTTTTCAACTTGCTTCAATCTGACCAAATTTTTTTTATAACTCATCTACAAGTTCCCAGGAGTCCAAATCTGACCTCAGATTTGACCTCTGACCTTTAGTTGACCTTCAGTGACCTTCGAAAGGTCAGAAAAGTTGATTTTTCAAATTGAGTCTTTGGATTCAAATTTAAGTCAGTCTAATTACAAAAAGCCTACTGAGGTCTAAAAAAGTAAAAATTTTAAGGTCAAAGGTCAAGGTCATCAAATTAGGTCACAAACTGTGCTATCTAAGTTTGTCATAGTTCAAGACTACAAATCAATATTTTTAATTGAAAGTCAAGATGTACATTCCTCTGAGGGTTCTACACATATTAGTCATTGACTATTTATTAAAATTTTGTCCCAGTTTTGAAATATAAGAGCTCAAAAACTGAAAAAGGTCAACTTTTTAAAGTTTATAAGGTCAAATTTTAACTTGCTTCAAATTCACCCAACTTTTTTTTAAAAAGTATCTACTACATCTCAGGAGTTCATATTTAACCTCAGATTTGACATTTGACCTTTACTTGACCTTCAGTGACCTTCGAAATATCAGAAAAGTTGATTTTTCAAATTGAGTTTTTGGATTCAAATTTAGGGTAAGCCTAATCATAAAAGACCCACTGAGCTCTAAAAAAGTAAAATTTTCAAGGTCAAGGGTCACGGTTATCAAATTAGGTCAAAAGTCAAAATCTAGGTCAAATCTAAGCTTTTTTCAAGTTTCTCAACTTTGTCCTTATACTTCATTATTTCTTGCGATGAATTAAACTGAAACTACATTTAAGTATTCTCTACAAATTGTTCACTATATGTCAGCATTAAATTTTTACCGTTTTTGAGATATTTGACGTAAAAAAACGGTCAAAAAAGGTCATTTTTCAACTTGCTTCAATCTGACCAATTTTTTTTATAACTTATCTACAAGTTCCCAGGAGTCCAAATCTGACCTCAGATTTGACCTTTGAACTTTAATTGACCTTCAATGACCTTCGAAAGGTAAAAAAAGTTGATTTTTCAAATAGAGTCTTTTGATTCAAATTTAGGTCAGCTTAATTACAAAAGTCCTACTGAGGTCTAAAAAAGTAAAACTTTTCAAAGTCAAAGGTCAATCAAGATCATGAAATTAGGTCACAAACTGTGCTATCTAAGTTTCGCAAAGTTCGCGGAGTCGAAATATACACATTCCTCTAAGGGTTGTACACATATAAGCAATTGACTATCTAATAGAATTTTGTCCCAGTTTGAGATATAAGAGTTCAAAAGTTGAAAAAAGGTCAATTTCGAAATTTTTCAAGGTCAAATTTAAACTCGCTTCAAATTGACAAAATCTTTTTTTGAAAATCATCTACAAGTTCTCAGGAGTTCACATCTGACCTCAGATTTGATATTTGTCCTTTAGTTGACCTTCAAATTGTCAAAAATGCCTAAGAGGGCCTCCGTGAGATTGCTTGCAATCTTCAAAAGTCTAGTTATATCAGAGTCCAGACGATGGGCATTCGTTCAATCTAATAAGAGAGTCCATTGAATGAAAGAAATGTTTTAGTAAGAATTGTTTCGGCATTTACCAAAGAGGGCTTCTGCGCAGGTTTTCTGCGCAGGTCAAGGTCGTGAACGTTCTTGTTTCTTTTCTAAAGTTTTTCTTATTCTCACGACTCTTACACTATGTTTAGGTGAAAATGATGATCTATCATTAGATTAAAAACATAAGGTATAATTTCAAATCTATACCCGATAGTCTTTAGTAGAAATAATGAAGATCAAATCGGGGGCTCTCTCTGGGAAAAAATCCTTCAATTCGGCGGGGGTTCTTCTGGGAATTTTTGCATATCGCGAATATAATGTGTAGCAAATTGACCCGGGGGTGGCACTCTCGCGAATAATGCATGTAGCAGATATTAAGTGTTTTACAGTATAAATGAAAATAGAGAGATATTTGGTACTGAAAGACAAAGTTGCAGCTTTTTTCTCATTTAGACTTTGATTCTGTTACATCGCAACATATGTCAGTGGGTGCATCTATCAGCATGATTTTATAGTGTACAGAATGTAAGAAATTATGAAATAAATTGAATTGAATTCAACTCATAAAAAACTTGTGTATTTTGTGTATAGACATCGGACTAACAATAAATTTAGACAGCCTAATGAATCAGTATATCTTTTAAATACATGTATACAGAGATGATGCATGAAGATGCATGATCCAGTCTTCTCCATGACATTTAAAAAATGGATTCTCTGCATACTCCACAGATGTTCCTTCCAAGAGCAATTAATTGTATTATAACATACGAATGATGATGTATAACGTAAACTGTTCCCAAGACAGCGGGCTAATATAAGTTTCGGAAGGCCCGCACCCGCTAACTTTCTGATTGGTCAAGGCACTGGTACAATTACGCGCATACATACCGATCAACTGAAGATTCAACCACGCGAGCAATTTTTTTAAACTCACTTCAGTCACCATTTATTTCACTAACATCACTTGATTTCCAATAACTTCATATAACTTTGTTTATCAATTGTGTTTATTGATAAATTTGTGTCCTTAAGTGCTAAAGTTGTAGGTTTAGAAAAACTGCTCGAGTAGTTTTATCTTCAGTTGATCACATGTAGTAATGCATTGTCTGTCAAATGCAGACATGGGAAAAGACCATCAATTTTTGTTTTTTAAACCATTCGTTAGTCAACTAAATTAGAAAACGGTACTCTCTGACCACTCTACATCATCGATCATAGGTATGTTATGTATCCTTTATGTCACTAATGTGAAACATATTCCCTCGGTTCTCAGAGATCAATGGCCCTCCCAAGGTTGGGCCATACATCACTGAAAACCTTGAAAGTGACATGACCTCTAAATATTTCTTAAATCATATCTATTGGACAAAGTAACCCTCCTCTTTGGGCGAAACTGGGTACAAATCCATTTTCAACCACTTGCTTCATTTACTGAGATCACTGTGAATCCACCTATTGTTCAAAATGACTTACTTGTATTGTGCAGCAGTCTCTATGGCAATATCATATGCTGTTGGGTCTCTGTCTAGGGCCAGTATATGAAGACCAGGTGCCCTTTCAATGATGGCTTTACTGTGTCCCCCACTGCCAAATGTCATATCAACCAGCACCTGCATATAAAAAATAAGATTCATAAAAGAAAAACTGAAACATTAATAATTATACAGAGTGTACATTAAGTATTTTCAGTGTAAAGATACTTTATGGAAACCATGTATTTTGAATTGTTTATATTGTTGAGTGAGTGATAAATAACAAAAACAAAAGACAGTAACTACTAGCAACTAAAGTATAATACAAATAATATAAAACATGTCTTTCTGATTAATCTCCTAGTACTCAAGGGGCGAGGAGGAAAATTCTCAATAAATGGTGTATAGTTGGTTTGGCAGTATTTTCAGTTAGGGGAGAGTCTTGGATGAAATTTCCACCTAGGTGATAGCTTCACAGAGTGGTAGGAAGTTCTTTTTTTTGAGGAGTTAGCCCCCCACCCCCCCAAAAACACCCCACCCTGGGGAAAAAATTGTTCACACTAAATAACCTTAGATATTTTGATGTTTGTAAGTGACATACATAGATATTATATATATGAACAATTTGCAGTATTATTGATGCTGATTACTTCTAAAGAATTTGAATATCAGTACAAAGTGTGTTCCCCAGGGGGCAAATTCGTGACTCATTTTCTTACTGTTTTGATTCTAACTTTTCAATTAGACACTGTAAGAGGTTGAAAAAATTCATGTGAAGTGCCCAATAGCAGGGTTAGTAACCCTGAAAGATGCAAAGCCATGGAAGAAGTAGGAGCTGAGAAAAAAATTGTTGATTTTTCGAAAAATTTGACATTTTTGACAACTGGATTTTGTGTATGACTATAGCTGACCCCTATAGTTTCTAGATCCATCCCTCTATGATGATATTTATGGTTTTATAGTGTGGAACTAAGATGTAAAACATAATTTAGATGAGTTTTAAGGAAGTTAAAGGTTTTAAACAAGTCCAAAATTTGAAAAATTGTAAATATAAGGTTTCAAATTTACAAATTCCAGGTATAGCCATGGCTGACCCCTATAGTTTCTAGATCCATCCATCTTTGATGATATTTATGCTTTCATAGTGTGAAACTAAGATGTAAAACATAAATTAGATGGGTTTTAAGGAAGTTATAGGTTTTAAACAAGTTCAAAATTCGAAAAATTGTAAATGTAAGGTTTCAAAATTACGAATTCCAGCTATAGCCATGGCTGACCCCTATAGTTTCTAGATCCATCCCTCTTTGGTGATATTTATGGTTTTGTAGTATGGAACTAAAGATGTAAAACATAATTTAGATGGGTTTTAAGGAAGTTAATGATTTAAAACAAGTCCAAAATTGTAAGTATAAGGTTTCAAATTTACGAATTTTAGGTATAGCCATGGATGACCCTTATGGCTTTTTCATCAATACTTCTATGATGAAATATATACTTTTGGAGTGTGAAACTAAGATGTAAAACATACTGAAGATGAATTTTAAGGAAGTTTAAGAATTTTAACAAGTGCAATATTTGAAAAATTGAGAAATATCAGGTCTCAAAGGAGCACGGAAAGTATCGCAACAGATTTCAGAAAGTCATATGTTGGATTTTGTCTGTTTTTTGAGGATTTAAGCAGGTGCATATGATAGGCCATTGCATTACCTACGGGAAAAGAACTCTTAGAGATGATAAAATAGTTTGGAATTTGAGACAGCGAAGGTGAAAACAATCCACCCACATGTTTTTTGGGAAATATCATCCTGATTTTCAACCCCGTTCACCTATGGTTTTTCAATTTTTGTTGCATCAATATGTTGCGTTTTGAGACATAATTAACCATTAAAAGGATAAATTTCTTTTAGATAAAGTGGAAAACAGTATTTTCCTGTTATTTTCCCATAGGGAAAACTCATGTGATCCATTGCTTTCAGCTTAATTTTGGTCACCCATATTTGATATCTTTAAAATCCCTGATAGGATTGTATTTTTCATTTAAAGGGGTTAACTGTATGTAAAAACACATATATTTATACATATACACATATATATTTATGCATGTGGGTGGGTTGTTTGCACCTTCCCTGTCTCAAAATAGAAATTATTTTATCATCTCTATGGGTGCTTTTCCTGGAGGAAATGCATTGCCATTGGCCTAACATATGCACCTCCTCAAATCCTCAGAAAATAGCCAAAATCCAACATATGATTGCTGAAATCTGTTGCGATACTTTCAGTCCTCCTTAACGATTTCAGGTATAGCCCTGGATGTCCCTCTTTTTGAATGTATGACTTAGCTTAGAAATTAGATGTTGAAAATATTGTGGTCAGGTTTGATCCATGTTACATGTATTGTTAAAAGAAAAATCATTAGAGTTGAGGACTTAACCCTTGAGTTCCTAAGGGGGTGAGAGGTTAATAAATCCCCCAGTAAGTGTAACTGCTCCTAGGGATATCGTATACAGTGTAGTAATTGATTGATTAAATGGATTATAACTAATTAATTATTATTTGACGATATTTATTATGTGATATAGCATTTTTACTTTTTCACATCAACATGTTCGATGTAATGTTCTGCATTATCAAAATACATAAAGACATGGTTAATTAAAAGAAACATGTTCTCTATATTTTGTTATGCCCCTTCTGTAATTAAGCAATGATCATCTCCTAATACAAAATGTTATGAATTATCAAATTATAATCACTACACTCCCAATAAAACAATTTGTCATCAGGCAACAGTAATTATTTGGGAAAATAAGGATTATAAGGATCATACCCCCCCCCCCCCGCCCGGGCCTAGAAACTTCCGTTAGTGCGATGATATAAGGAACTCTAGGGTAAAAGGGTCTTGTCACATTAAAATCTTCATGTAGATCAAAAAAGTATATATGGTGATATGATCAATATGTTTCAAACAAACAGACATTGTAGAAAATGTTTACATACTGACTTTGCAGATGACATTTTCTAGCATAGTTGAAGAATTTTTTTCATTTATTGAAATGATAGTCATAAAATTATAATATCAGTGTCATTTGATGCAAATTACTTCAGTCCCACATGTTCTGCTGAATGTAAAACAGAGTGAATAATTTTAAAATCAGCCTCTTCAGGAGTGGAATTTAACAGGAGATTTCAGTTATCATTTTCACAGATATTTGAGTTCTCTCCAATAGTTCCACTTAAAACAATCTTGACATTTGGCACACTTTTAGAATGCTGCTTTATTGAATTTCTTTGTAATCTTTGAAAATTTGTCTTATATTCACAGGCTGGTATCGAAAGATTTGTCCGCTGTGACGGAGCATGCTATTTTTCATAACCTTCACTTCTGTTTGAAGTCCAATAACGCAAGGAGTAAAATCTATTGAAAGCGGCGCCAGAGTATCAAACTCTAAAATGTACCATTTCTTTTTTAACTTTTAAATGGCATGATATAGTGACACGATAATATTAACATATGTTTTAAGCATAACTCTGAATGTATTAATGAGATATTAATGCATTAGGTCTTTTTAATTTTTTTGATAAAAAATAATGTTAATATTTTTTGTCCGCTGTGACGGAGCATTTTCACAGTTCACATTTGCAACTGCTCCGTCACATCGGACAAAAATTATTTTTTATAAAAGAATTAAAAAGACCAAATACATCAACATCTCATTTATACCTTCATAGTTATGCTGAAACCACGTGTAAATATTATCGTGTCACTATATCGTGCCATTAGAAAGTTAAACAAGAAATGGTACATTTTGAAGTATGATACTCCGGCGCCATTTTCAATAGCTTTTCTTCCCAGCGTAATTGGACTTCAAACAGAAATGAAAGTTACCCGCAAATGATATATCCATTGCATGGAGTAAGTAATTTTGTATGGTATAACGAAACATATGAGTTAAAAAATAAATCGTGAAGTATTCTTAGTGTTTTTACGAAAAATAGCATGCTCCGTCACAGCGGACAAATATTTCGATACCAGCTTGTGATATTACTTGGACAAAGGTATTCATATTTTTAGGTAATGGTGTAATTTCTTCTATGGATTAAAGTTAAATAGGGGAAGCATCCATTCTTCGCATTCTTTCAGAATCCTTTACTGATGGAGACAACTAGCTAGGAGTCTAATATGAAATCTATTCTTTGGGCTCCTTTACTAGATTTGATGGAGTACTCAAATATAGCTTTCCAAAACTCTCCAAATTTCAACATATAAGTTAATCTTAATTTTCCCTTTGTCATAGCCATTGCATCAATCACGAAAGTTTTATCAATTTGTGGTATGGTTTCATCGATCTCCATTTCGAACCCCTTTTTAAGTTCTGATTTTACAGGATAAGATAGATGATCATTGTCAAACGAACCGTTTGTATCCATATAAGATCATAGTTTACTCACACATTTCTAGGCAAGGTGTGTCCAATTCCAGCCAATTCAATATTCCATATAACTGCATTCCAATTTACTACTGTCATAAACCCAAGGTCAATTTTTGATTCAAGAGAAACTAATGATCATAGGGAATAGCATGCCAAGTGCTTGTATTTGAGTTTATGTGGATTACTCATTTGGTAGACACCTTTATCAAATGTTAAAGTGTTGTTGATTTTCAAGTTGTAGAAGCACAGTGTCATGGGTGCTTTCTTTTCCTGACATAGTATAACATTGTGGTAAAAATTATCAAAGGCACCTAGTACAGTAGTTCTAGTTCATCATCTTGTATAAATGATATATCATCAGTGAAACCTGTATATCCCAACATCTGACTATTGTGAACACCTACCAATCATCCCAACACCTGACTTATCTGAAAACCAACCAATCTGAACACTTTTCCCCAGTTCAATTTTTCCTTCCTCCCATTGACTCCTATGTTTAAAAATTGAAATCTGAACACCTCTTAATTCGAACAGTGAACACTCATATTTGAAAAATCAACCTGTTTAACTTGAACTTTTTTTTACCAAATATCACATATTTCTTACAAAATTGCACAAATATTGTCAGTTTAACACTGAATTGTTATGATATCAAAACTTTTGAATTGGATTTTGGAATGCTTTTAAGCTTTTTGGGTGGTCAGTATA